TTTTCATGCCTGTTAACACAACATCCATTCTGCAGCTAATGGAGTGATTTTCACTTTCAAGTCTTGCTATTTAAGAAATACATTTCAGAGGCACCTGGATGGCTCAGTCGGTTGAGCATCTGACTCTTGATTTTGGCTCAGGTCATTATCTCTGGGTAATGAGACTGAGTCCTGCCTCAGGCTCGTGCTGGGGGGTGGAGCTTGCTTAACATTCTGTTTCTCCTTCTCTGCCCCTCCCCTGCTTGGGCACTCTTTCTCAAAAAAAAATTTTTTTTTCATAAGGCATTGATTCCTGTGATGGATCTGGGGAAGGTAAATTAAAAATATTTTTGGGGCACCTAGGTGGCTCAGGTGGTTGAGCACCGACTTCAGCTCAGGTCATGACCTTGCAGTCTGTGAATTCCAGCCTTGCGACTGGCACTGTGCTGACAGCTCGGAGCCTGGAGCCTACTTCAGATTCTGTGTCTCCCTCTCTCTCTGTCCCTCTCTCGCTTGCAATCTGTCTCTCTCTCAAAAATAAACATTAAAAAAAATATTCTTGAAGACTAATGAATCTAGATGTTACTAGAAAGCATTCATGATTCATGGAAAGAGATCAAAATAATAGGAGTTTGGAAGAAGTCAGTTCCAACCTTCATGGATGACTTTGAGGGGTTTAAAACTTTAGTAGAGGAGGTAACTGCAGATGTGTTGGATAAAGTAAGGGAACTAGAATTAGAAGTGGAGTCTGAAAATATGACTGAATTGCTGCAGTCTCCTAAAACTTCAGTGGATGAGAACATCTTACAGACCAGCAAAGAAAGTGGTTTCTTAAGATGGAACCTACTCCTGGTGAACTATTCTAATAGTTTTTTGGTGAAGTCTTTTTGGTTTTCTATATATAGTATTACGTTATTTGCAAATAGTGACAGTTTTACTTCCTTTCAATTTGGGTGCCTTTTATTTTTTTTTTCTTACCTAATTGCTGTGGCTAGGACTTCTTGGATAACTATGACCAGAATGGATATTTTTGTCTTGTCCCTGATCTTAGAGGAAAAGCTATCAGCTTTTCACTGTTGAGTATGTTATTTTTTTTTTAGTGTTTTTTATTTATTTTTGAGAGAGAGAGACAGCATGAGCAGAGGAGGGTCAAAAAGAGAGTGAGACACAGAATCTGAAGCAGGCTCCAGGCTCTGAGCTCTCAACACGGGGCCCACGAACTGTGAGATCATGACCTGAGCCAAAGTCGTATGCTCAACCAACTGAGCCACCCAGGCACCCCAGAGTATGTTATTAACTATGAGTTTGTCATATATAGTATTTATTATGTTGAAGTATTTTTTTTTTAATGTTTTATTTATTTCTAGGAGAGAGAGAGAGAGACAGCGTGAGCAGGGGAGGGTCAGAGAGAGAGGAAGTCACAGACTGAAACAGGCTCCAGGCTCTGAGCTGGCAGTCAGCACAGAGCCCGACGCGGGGCTCGAACCCACGAACTGTAAGATCATGACCTAAGCGAAAGTCGGAAGCTTAACTGACTAAGCCACCCAGGCGCCCCAATGTTGAAGTATTTTTTATACTTACTTTGTTGAGAGTTTTTATCATAGATGTTGTTGAATTTTTGTCAGATTCTGTTTCTGTATAAAGGTCATGATTTTTGTTGTGTTAATATAGTGTAATATGCTGATTGATTTACAGATAAGAACTACCCTTGGATCCCTGGAATAAATCTCACTTGATAATGGTGTATGATCCTTTTCATGTACTGTTGAAATTGATTTGCTAGTATTTTGTTGAGGATTTTTGCATCTATATTCATCAGAACTATTGGCCTGTTATTTTCTTTCTTTGTGTGTGTGTATCTTTGTCTGGTTTTGATAATCAGAGTAATGTTGGCCCTGTAAAATGAGTTTGGAAGTGTTCCTTCTTTAATTTTTTTGGAATAATTTGACAAGAAAACTTACCAACTCTTTAAATGATTAGTAGAATTTACCTGTTAAACTGTCTGATCCTGGGGGGAATTTTTAAATTACTGATTCATTTTCATTACTTTTAATCAGCCTGTTCACATTTCCTATTTTTTTATGGTTTGGTCTTAGTGGGTTGTACTTTTGTAGGAATTTATCCATTTATTCTTCTAGGTTTTTCAGTTTGTTGGCATGTAGTATATTACTCTATGATTCTTTGTATTTCTGTGTTGTCAGTTAAAAATTCTTCATTTCTGACTTCACTTATTTGAGTCTTCTCTTTTTTTCTTGAGGAGTTTGGTGAGAGGATTAATGATTTTTATCTTTTCAAAGAACCAGCTTTTAGTTTCACTGGTCTTTTCTAAATTTTTTTTTTTTTTAGCCTCTCTTTCATTTATTTCTACTCTGATCTTTATTATATTTCCTTCTACTAAGTTTGGGTTTTGTTCTTCTTTTTCTAGAGTCTTTACATGTAAAGTTTGTTTATTCGGACTTTTCTTGTTTCTTGAGGTGGGCCTGTGTTGCTGTGAATGTCCTTCTTAGAACTGCTTTTGCTGCATCCCCTAGATTTGGGAATGTTGTGTTTCCATTTTCATTTGTCTTAAGGGGTTCCCTCCTTTCACATTTCTAAGCAATCCCCTCTCTCTCTTTTTTTTTTAATGTTTTTATTTATTTTTGAGAGACAGAACACAAGTGGGGGAGGGACAGAGAGAAAGGGAGACACAGAATCTGAAGCAGGCTCCAGGCTCTGACCTGTCAGCACAGGGCCTGACATGGGGCTTGAACTCAAAAACCTAGAGATCATGACCTGAGCTGAAGTCGGATGCCTAACCAACTGAGCCACCCAGGCACCCTATTCCCTTTTTTTTTTTTTTTTAAATTCAAGTGTGATTAACTTGCAGTGTTATATTAGATTCAGGTGTATAATATAACAAACAATTCAATACATTTTTAGTGCTGAAGATAAATATACTCTTAATTTCCTTTATCTATTTCACTCATCCATGACCCATTGATCTTGTAGCAACTATCAGTTTGTTCTCTCTACTTAAGAGTTGATTTTTTAGTTTGGCTCTTTTTTCCTTGTTTGTTTTGTTTCTTAAATTCCATATATGAGTGGAATCATAAGGTATTTGTGCTTGTCTCTCTGACTTATTTCACTTAGGCTTATGCCCTCTAGGTCCATCCATGTTGTTGCAAATGGCAAGATATCACTTAAATTTTTTTCTTTGATTTCTCCCTTGACCCATTGGTTGCTTGTAATCAACATTTTAAAATGAAGTAGGGTAAGGATTAACTACAATTAGAATAATTTTTGCTATGAATTTGTTAAAATAAGGGTTAAACTATTCTGAATAATATATAGAGAGGTCACATAAAATTGTTTTTCTGTAGTTTAGATCCAGTGTAATTTAAACATTTTGCTAATCCTGGAAAACATTCCAATTACGTTTAAAAGAATCACATCACTAGCCTTATAAGCAGATTATGGACGTTACTCTCTTTTGGATGAATATTTTAGAATTTTATCTGTTGATATAACTACAATTAAGTAGTTATGACATATGGTATGGTTTTTAATTCTCTAAAAGCAAAGTTATAATCTTTAGTAGTCCACACTTACTGTGTTCTTACTGTGTGTTGGTACTTAACTTGAACACTGGATGTTCTCTCTAATCTAATTCTTCCAACAATCCTCAGAGGTAAGTACTGCTTTTATCTTCATTTAACTGATGAGAAAATTGAGTGTCAGAAAATATTTTATTCAAGTCAGCCCAAGAGCTGGTAAGCAGTAAATCCAAAATTAATACCTAGGCAGCCTGCCTTTAGGCATTATTATTAAGCAAAGTGCTGTGCTACATCCCCAGGTTGTGCTGTCATGGTCTTCATCTTGACAGATGAATGAATTCCATCGTCATGTATTTTTATGCTATGATTGGATATGTATGATATACAAGAAAATTATTAAACATTTTCATGTGCTTTGCAAAACCCCCAGTTATTTGTGATAGATAAATGGATTCTGTCAGTTTTCTTTAAGGAAAAGCAACTGTCAAAGGGAAATTCTGAAATGACCTTTAGTCATTAATTGAAAATATAGGAGTTCATTAAAATCATTTGTTTTTATTAATCTTTGTTTCTAGTTGGGAGAAATGAGTGCTCATGAATGGATTTTCTAAGTTCTGTTATTTGAGGAAATGACTGAAGATATAGGGAAACTTGTTGATCTTATTTGTTTCTTGTAATAGTGTGTATAGCAACAAATTGCTGGCATTTGTGCCAGTTATGTACTGGGCACTCCTCTGAACACTTTATGTATTATAATATATTATTTAATCCTTACAAGAACAACATGAAACAGACAAACTTATCCCCACTGTACAGTTTTCAGGGTTTTTTTTAGAATGATTTTAAGTCCTGGGTTGATTTATTTAAACAGTTACAGTGGTTTTTATTTGTTTTTGTCTGTTAGTAGCAAATAAATGCATAATTGCAGTAAATATATTCATATTATTCCTTAATTGCTGCTTTTTACAGTGCTGTTCCTGTTACCACACAGCTGGCCCTTTTTCATTCAATATACAGTGACCAGAAGCCTCTCCTCACCTTTTTTTCTTGCTGTTACATACTAGCCCTTATTTGGTACACCCTACCTTTCAACTCCAATTATATTTCCTTGCTAAAGTTCCATTTGTTCCAAGTATTATAATTACTTCCTCTTCCATGTCACTGCCAAGTTCTCCATTCAGTGTCGCATGTTTCCTGTTCATATAAAATCCTTAACTGAGGAAGTTTTTTCTTACTCTATGCCTGTCAGTTTTTGCATATAAATAAACAGGAATGTCTTCTAAATCCATCTTTTATATATTCATGTATATAGCAATTTAATAGTTGCTGTTAGTTTTAGTGGTTGTATACATCTGATTGTGAACAAGAGATTAAAGAAGTTACTAGCCTTCTATAATTTAAAAAAAATATTCGAATCTGTCTTTTCTCTTAGTAAGAAAAATTTTATTGTATTACTTTATTCACTGTTTCTTTCTTACAATTTTTTAGGTTTTATGGCAATTGGATATATTCCGAAGAAGCTTGCGGGTTCTAACTGGACATGTTTGTCAGGGAGATGCCTGTATATTTTGTGCATTGAAGGTAACTTTTTAATAGTACTAAGAAATTACTTTTGTTTCTCCAAAAATTTAATTTTACTTGATAGTTTATTTGGTTTATTTTAAGATTTGGTTAGTTTATTTGAAATTAAAGTTCATTGTCAAATTGACTTAGAGCTTTGAAGGTGAATTCTTAAAATATGATTTATTCAGCTTTATGTTTTTCCCCCACTTTTATGGAAGGAGAGTTGAAATTAACATCCTAGATAGTATAAAATATTAGGAATGTTATAATTTTCATTATTTTGAAACAATTCTTTATTCATTTGCTACTATTGGATTTTGTGCACCTCTGTAGTTATTGAGGATACAGCACTGAAGAAACTGTTAAAGCATCTGTCCTAAAGGAGCTTATATTCTTAATGGGGAGAGGAAAATAAATAAGCAAAATATAACGTATGTAAGATGGTAATAATTAAAAAGGCAGAAAAATAAATCAGGGAAAAGGAATAGAGAGTGTTAAGTAGCCAGGAAGGCCTCACTGAGAAAGTTTAAACTATAACCTGGAAGAGGTGATGGAGTGGAATAGTCCAAGCAAGTAAAGACACAGTAACTGGAAAGGTCCTAAGGTGAGTATGCATGACACATTCAAGGAAACCTGGGTGACAGAAGCTTTCTGAGCAAGGGAGAGAGTGATAAGCGAGCTCAGAAGTAAGGTGGATTTTGCCATGTGGTGTATGTGCGCGAGTGCAAGTACGGAGCTCCTTACTTCTCCGCCATCTTGCCCCTCCCCCCAGAAGTAAGGTGGATTTTGTAGGCTTTAAACATATCTGCAGAATTTTCTGCATTCTTCCTATCAAAAGGTAGAGTCTAATTCTTTGAATATGGACTGACCGTAAGGATTCATCCCCATCAAATAGAATGTGGCAGAAATGAGGCTGCAGACAGATTAGATTAGAAAAGCTGGTAAAATTTCCATCTGGCTCTGCCCATTGGGTTGTCATTTTTGGGAATGAACCACCATGCTGCGAGAAGGCCAGGCTGGCCACAGCTGTGGCCGACGTCCCAAGCTGATTGGTAGTGCCAACAGCCACCATCAACTGCTCTATGTAATGACCAACCTTCAGATGATTCTAGGTCCCAGCGTTCAAACTGTCCTAGATAACTTCCAGTGGAACAGAGTTGAGCTATTCACACTCAAATTGATGATTTGTAATCAAAATAAATGTTATTTTAGTAACTAAATTTTGCAGTGGTTTGTTACAGAGCAATAAATAACTGGAACAGGAGTCCATATTGTGTAGGTCCTTCTAGACCTTTGTGAGAACCTTGGCTTTTCTCTTGAGCAATTTGGGAAGTCTCAGGATTGTTTTGAGTAGAAGAGTGATGAATCTGTTTTAATTAGATATAATATTTGAACTAGATCTCTTTGGCTACTTGGATGAGAATAAATGGAAGAGACAAAGGCAGAAAGAGGGAGTCGTGTATATAGTAGTATTTCATTTATATCATTGAACTTTTTACTCAGGAATTACTAAGATTATTATTAAGATTTTATGTTTCAGAGATAAACATTTCATTCTTTTACATTCTTGAATATTTTTATACACACATGCATACAAGAAAATAAAAAGACATTTTCATGCTTTATTTTGATTGACATTCCTGAATATAAATCACCAAAGAAGACAATTTTACACTCTCTTTTTTAGAACGTGGCAAAATAGGGTTATTGTTAGTGGATGAAGAATGAACTTAGATCAAATTACAATAACCACATTTTATGCCACAGTAAATTTTGGACATTTTGCCCAATTATAAAAACTAGTATTGTTAAAACTTCTAGCCTAAATCTTTCATAGCCTTCCATAATCACCTACCTGCCTCCCCACCACCTACCCAAAACTTACTCCCTGTCTCTCTGTCTCACGTATTGCACTTTAGCCAAACTGGCCACCACCGTACAATTTCACAAAGCTGACTTCCATCTGTGAGTGTTTTCATTGTTATTCCTTTTGTCTGGAATGCTTTTCTTCTAGATATTTTTGTAGCTTACACTCTTAACTTCTTTATAAATCTTTTGTTTAAATGTTTTTATTTATTTTTGAGAAAGAGCACGAATGAGGGAGGGACAGAAGATCTGTAGCACTCTGTGCTGACAGCAGCGAGCCCATGTGGGGCTCAAACTCATGAACCGTGAGATCACTACCCAAGCAGAAGTCGGATGCTCAACTGACTGAGCCACCCAGACGCCCCACTCTTTCTTTTATGCTAATCCTCAAATGAGGATATCAGTGAGGCCTTCCCTGACTACCCTAGGTAATAATTAACCTCCTTCCTCTCAGCATCTCTATTTCCATTATAATACTTTATTTTTCTCTCTTGTATTTGATATCTTTATTTTTCTCTATTGTGTTTATCATATTCCAACATATAGTTAGTTACTTGCCTCTCCCTTACTACAGCCAGAATGTGTACTCCATGAAGGCGGTGTTTTTGTCTGTTTTCTAGTGAAAATGCCTTACATTTACTAGGCAGTCAAAAAACAGATGACAAATAAATGACACTCTTGTGTAGGATTAATATCTTAAACAGTACCTTGAAAAGTTAATTACCGGGGTGCCTGGGTGGCTCAGTCGGTTAAGCGTCCAACTTCGGCCCAGGTCATGATCTCATGGTTTGTGGGTTCGAGCCCCGCGTCGGGCTCTGTGCTGACGGCTAGCTCAGAGCCTGGAGCCTGCTTCAGATTCTGTGTCTCCCTCTCTCTCTCTGACCCTCCCTTGCTCACGCTGTCTCTCTCTCTCAAAGATATAAATAAAACGATAAAAAATGTTTTTAAAATAGAAAAGTTAATTACCTAAGTAATAAATAATATTTGAAAATATTTTTCATTTTTCATATTTATAATTATACCTAAAATTATAGTTCCGGATATCTAATATTATTTTGCATTTTTGATTTTCAACTTCTTATTTATTTATAAATTAGATTTTTCTTAAAGTAGTGGGACAGGTTTTTGAAATATTTTCCTAGCCTATCAGATGTCAGTCTGGAAAAACGATTGATTTTGAGATGACATACCCATTGAGCTAATTATTTAAGAACTTAATATGACCAATCATTATTTGGTGGGGTTATCACTGAAAACCTTTTTCCCCCACATTCTCTCGCCTAATGTGATTATCATTAAGCTGGAACTTACTAGTTTTTCATGCTTAAATTCAATAAGGAAAATGGAAAACCAGATTAATACCTATAATCATATTTTCTTGGATGTTTCCATGGTTTCTTAGGCTTTGGTTAGAAATAATGCTCCAACACTGAGTGTTATGTGGAAACTAATTTGACAATAAACTATTTGTAAAAAAATAAAAGAATAAAAAAAATAAAAACCCATAAAAAAAAAAAGAAATAATGCTCCAAGTGAGGAAAACTGATAATTTGAAAATTAAAACATTTTTTTAAAACTTAAAAGTAATCCTCTTTCCTCTGACTTCATACAAATTGTACAGTGTCAGTTTTTAAAGGCAGTTTTAGTTAATGGGAAGTTGTCATCCCATTGAACTTAACTAAATTTTGTTTCTTTTTAAACCAACATTTGTCATTTTCTGAGGTTTATTTATTTTTGGTTAACATAATTTTAATTCCTATAGCATAGTTTCAGATTTATAGCAACATATCTCAGCAATTTTCCTTAAACAACATGAATCAGAATTAGCTGGGGAACAGTTTAAAAATTGCCCTTACTTCTCACTTCAGCACACTCAATCAGAATCTCTGAGGATGGGAGCTGAGAACTCATTTAATTCTGTGCACACTAACAGTTAATTTAGAGGCTGGGCAACCATTTCTTTACATAATTGATACAAATAACTTTTATATGGAATTTTAGAGCAAAACATTATCTATCAAAATTTTATCTCCATTTCTAGGTATAGTGTTTCACTGTGTTATAATGAAATTACTGAAGTGTTTCTTTAGTTGTTGGCCTTAAACTTACTGATGTACTTGTTGATCCCCAGACAATATTTGCACAGTTTCAACACAGTCGAGAAAAAGCACTTCCTTCAGATAACATAAGACATGCTCTAGCAGAAAGCTTCAAAGATGAGCAGCGATTTCAGCTGGGCCTTATGGATGATGCTGCAGAGTGCTTCGTAAGTATTTTTGATAATCCCTAAATCAGAAGACTAGCTTGTTTTCCTTAAGTGATGTGAATTTTGAGATGAATGAAACATGAATTTATAACAATAGAAAGGAATCCAAACTGCTCAGTGGATCCATGTCTTCCCTTCCCTTCAAAACTGTGTTTCATGACTTTTGGTTTTGATTATTTGTGCTGCTGTCATTTTTATTCAGTGTTAGACTACTAGAATATTAAAAAAAAATTTTTTATTGGAACAAATATTTATTAAATATAAATTATGTCACCTAAGTCAGTATTGTGCATCCACAGGGTTAATATGCGTGATGCATTTCCAGCAGTAACATTTCTCATTACATGCAGTGATTCTCTTTGGGAGAGAAAAGGATCTCGGTGGGCAGCTATCAGGGGTAGCAGTTCTGATTCACCCCTCACTCCAGGTTGAGAATCACTGACTGGGGCTGATGTTCCAAGACTGTGTTACCACCATATTGATAAGTAGAACATCCTTCTGAACAGTAACTAAACCTTATACACCATCTAAAAAACTAAACCTTATACACCTTCTAAAATATGTGTATTGATTATTAAATGTGTCATTGTTACAGATGATACCTATATTTAAAAAGGTAACCATTTCTTTTCTTAGTCTTGTATCTATTTGGTGAATTCTATAAATTCTTTCATCAGGAAACCTTTTAAGGTTTTCCTTGGCACATTATTTCCCTTGAAACCACTTTTTACTAGTTCTGGTGTCTACTCTCAGCATTATTTAAGCCTCTACTGGTATCCTTTCAGCCTATCTCCTTAAAGTATTCTTTAATGGCCAACAGATTAATAAAACTTTCTTCAGATTAATCTTTGCTCTTCAGATATTAAATCTGGACTCTCTTCTGACATTTCAGGCCGTTTAGTTAAGCTCTACTTCTTTGTGTCCTCCTTGAATTTTCCCTCCTAATGAGGGGGTTCAGTTCCTCAAACATGTCTTTTAAATTCTTGTTTTATAGCCTTTGGTTGAGTTCCTTATATTCAAAACTCCTAATGTAGCATTGGTTAAGGTTCAACCTAAGTCACACCTACTACATAGATAATGTATGGTCAAAGCATCCGAGTCAGTTCACTGAACTTGTGTAGAACTTACTATCTATAGAATTCATTTGAAATTTATGTGTTACCATTTTTTTTAATGAGCATCTTTACTGTTTCCTTAGATGGAAAGCTCTTTGACTAATGCACTACTTAACACACTTTATATGTTGATTAAAATGTGTCAGAAACAGCATACACAGTTATAAAATATGCTTTTCATAATTCTCATGTTCATAATCGATCCATTATTTAAAATATAAATATATTTTGTACAATACCAAATTTTATAGTTTATTTTCACTTAAGTGAAATGTCCAATTATGTGATTTGATAATAGAAATTCTAGAATATCTAGAAATTTAGGCTTATATAATTGAATGGTTTTAAATTTCCTGAGGCAGAGGAGGTGGAATGTTTAGCTAATTAAAAGAATCCATTGGAGGTGCCTGGGTGGCTCAGTTGGTTAAGCATCTGACCGCAGCTCAGGTCATGATCTACCAGTTCGTGGGTTTGAGTCCCAAGTTGGGCTCTATGCTGACAGCTCAGAACCAGGAGCTTGCTTCAGATTCTGTGTCTTCCTTACTCTCTGCCCTCCCCCACTTGCCCTCGATCTCTCTCTCCCTCCCCCCCTACCCTCCTCCCCCTCTCCCTTTCCCTCTCTCCCCTCTCTGTCTCCCTCTCAAAAATAAACATTAAAAAAAATAAAGAATCCATTCAATAGGCTTTTGCTAAAAAGGTTTATTTGTTAATGAAAGAAATATTTCTTATTGATCTGTATTATAAATTTGAAACTTCATATGAGATTTGTTTGCAGAGCAGATTTCTTGCATTAGAATGTTAGTGTAGGTATTGCAAGCCTTTGTCATTGCTATTTTAATGTGAGTTATACAGACTTTAAAAATGTCCCAAGTAGGATTTTTAAAAGATTAACTGCTGTTTTCAATGTGAGAATGCTGGAAACATGGGAAACCTATGTTTTCTATTAAATTCTAGATGTCAGCCACCATGAATTGATTTTGTTAAGGATTTTTAAAGATATATATTAAATAAATATGTTGCTTTTATTAAATTAAAAATAATCCTACAAAAGGTGAATAAATGAATGGTATTTGAAAGATTGATTAAATAGGGAAGCTGAAAAGCTGACAATATAAAAGATGTGTTAAATTTAATGCTTTGGAAAATCTTAAAAAGATTTTTAAATGTATAAAGTTAAAAATAGTTGTATTATGAAGAGTCTTCTGTAAGATTCACACTCATTTGTCTTTTAATTTTTAAATTAGGAAAATATATTGGAGAGGATTCATTTTCATATAGTGCCAAGCAGAGATGCAGACATGTGTACCTCTAAATCTTGTATCACTCACCAGAAGTTTGCCATGACTCTGTATGAACAGGTGAGATGGCTTAACCTCTTTATCAGATATTATATTTGTTACTACTATATTTACTTACATATATTTGTATTTTGGTATATAACATATATAAATATAGGTAACATATATATGATATTTATGTTTTAAGATTGATAAATTAAACATGTTTTTACCTGTAGTGTGTGTGTCGTAGCTGTGGAGCGTCATCAGATCCTCTACCTTTTACAGAATTTGTGCGGTACATTTCTACAACAGCCCTATGGTAAGAACCTATTAAAGCATATTTGCCAAAGATGCTAATAACACATTTAAGCACATTGAGCATTTATTTTATAAAACCATAACATCTGTGAATATCTACTCTCTGTCTTATACTTAAAAAATATGGGACCATCAGAGGTGCTGAGTGATGTCTGTCTCAGTTGGATGTTTCTGATTTAGCCTAAAATGTATACTTACTGAAATGTACCAGATATTCATCAAAGTTTGTATCTATTTATATTTATACCAAGTTTTTGGAATTGTGAAAGAGAGCTTAAAATGCAAACTCTGTGGTAAATGGAGCTGCACATGATTTCTTCAGTTTTGCTAAGGGTGCTGTCTTTGTAGTGACCTATCAGCTCCACATTCCTTCAAGGTGATGGAAGCTAGGGTAAGCAGAAAAGGGCGGGGGGAGGAAGTGAAAATAATTCTTTGTTAGATTTTTTTTTTGAGTTCAAGTCCTCAGTATTCAACTGAAATAAAAATTTGCCCATGCTTGCCTGTCCCCTCCCTCCCTGTCCATGGAACATTAGCTAATGTTAGGTATCCAAAATGACAAGATGATCCCTGGACTTTACATAATAAGAATTGTTTGAACACTTTCTGACAAGTATTTGAGAATATAAATATTTGATATATGATAAACAGTGAATAAATGTTTATAGGTATTTTAATACAAAAACCAAAACATGGATTAATAATTATTAATCAGAATACATCAGTTCAAGAGTTAGTTACTAAATACTATCCAGGTGCCTGGGTGGCTCTCTTGGTAGAGCATCCACCCTAGGCTCAGGTCATGATCTCATGGATGATCTCGTGGTTCATGATTTTGAGCCCCACATTGGGCTTTGTGCTGACAGTTCAGAGCCTGGAGCCTGCTTCAGATTCTGTTCTCCCTCTCTCTCTGTCCCTCCCCTACTCACACTCTGTTTCTCTCTAAAAAAATAAGTAAACAAACAAAAAAAAAAATGTTTAATGCTATCAGTATTTTAATCATTGTACAAAGTGCATATCAGGTGCTTATCTGTTTTATTATGTTATTAAACTACCTGGCTTTTTTGGATATAACACAATATTTCTTAAAGACTGTTGAATAATAGCAATTTGGTTATTTGCGTGTGTTTAGTATCTTTCTTAATACATATAGAGTTGGGGGGCATTAGTTTAAAGAAACATTCCCTAAACTTCAGTCAGTTATAGGTTCATTTTTTTCACTTTGTATGAAGAGTAGGATTGTGTCTGAATAAGGATAGGCCACACAGTAAAAACTATAAAACTTTAAGTCTACTTTGAAACTGTCATATAAAACAAGTGTTCCGAGGCAGTATCTTATGTATCAAGAGTTGGAGCTCCATCATTCTCTCTGTGATCCACACCAGAAATTGCAAGAAATCAGACTTTAAATGGTAATTATTATGGGTGACCCTTCGGTAACACAGGTTTGAACTACACAGGTCCACTTAGAAGGAGATTTTTCAATAACTATACATACAGTACTGTAAATGTATTATATCTTCCTCATGATTTTCTTAATGACATTTCCTTTTTCTTAGCTTTTTTGTAAGAATACAGTATATAATACATACAGCATACAAAACGTGTTAATTGACTGTTATTGGTAAGGCTTCCGGTCAACAGTAGGCTTTTAGTAGTCAAGTTGAAGGCAGGTCACAAGCTAATATGTGGATTTTGGACTCTGAAGGTTGGTGCCCCTACCTCCATGTTATTTAAGGGTTAGTTGGCACTTTCTTTTCATTGGAAATAAGTATTGAATACCAATTATTGAATTCCAGGCTTTATAAAAATTGTCATTTTTAATGTTAACAGAAACACTGTTTTGAATGAGCTTATTAGATTTAGTTCATCTTAATATACTTACGAAGTGCTTTAGAAGAATGGGTGCTCTTAGTTGTTACTGAATACTGTATATTATTAAATCATGGAACTGTAAAATATATCCAGCTCTAGGACAGTTACAGATGTTACTACTAAGTAGCACCAGAACATCTAGAATGGAAACTAGTAAGGATATTTGAGGTTACATTACATTTCTTTTTGAAAATATTTAAATAATTGTTTAAAGATTATATATATTTTGGTATATAAAAATTTGATTCTAAGAGATTAAACAAAAAGTGGCATAGATACCCTACCTAGGCTCTAATGAAATGGTCAGCACTCATTAAGCATAAACTTGGCCTAAATAATTTTGTTTTTGACTTCTGCATTAATCAGCAAAGGGCCCTTTGTTAGCTGAAAATGGTAACTTTGTTTCTGAGAGCTTGAGGCCATAGAGGAAGCCTTTTCCATAATTTGATTTGTTGTCCTTGTTAGGCCAAAGTTTAAACTCAAGTCCCTACTCATTAAATAATAATGTAAAAGAAACATTTGGCTTAGAACTTGGAGCATCTTATTACCTCATGCATGTAGTTCCAGAAAGTAGTAATATTTAGTGTTATTCTATTCTGAACCTAATGTTTTTCATCATGCACCTGCCAAATTTCATAATTTTTCATTTTATGGAAGTTTAGTTTATGGTTAGTTTTTCAGACAAAACCTGTTTTTAAGACAGGAAAGATGATCATACCCATATTGAGAACTTAATTTCTTTCCATACGTAGTTAGATCTTTTTAAAGTTCATAGGACACATTTGAGACTCCTTTTTCCTTCTGTAGCAATGAAGTGGAAAGAATGATGGAAAGGCATGAACGTTTTAAGCCTGATATGTTTGCAGAATTGCTACAAGCAGCAAATACAACTGATGACTATAGGAAATGTCCTGTAAGTATAATTTGGAGAAAACTGGTATGCTTATATGTTTGCAAACTTGAAAATAGACATTTAGAAATTACCATGTAAATATTAATTCTACATGGAATTAATTTTTCAGGGGCACCTGGGTGACTCAGTCAGTCAGCGCCTGACTCTTGATTTTGACTTAGGAAGTGGTCTCACAGTTGTGGGATCAAGCCCTGTGCTGACATAGCAGAGCCTGCTTGGGATTCTCTCTGCCTTCACTCTCTGCCCGTCCCCCCCCCCCCAAATAAATAAATAAACTTTAAAATTAATGCTATTTTTTCAGTGTTATTTTAGGCAACTCTTTATACCATGTGAGCTATTAACTGAGCACTATTTAAAAACTCTTTGTGAAGGATTTAGTGTATGCTGATTAATTTTTTAAAGTTCTGACATCTTTCATTGGACTTAAAGGAAAGTCTTTTTCCCTTTAAACATTACAAATGATATTCTTTTTTCTAATATAATATTACTGATCACTTCAAGTGATCAATATTTTTCTCATTTTTTAGATTGAATTCTTGTTTTAAAATTACAAAGATACCAAAGAATGTACTTTGATTTAAAATAAACTTCTTGTTTAATCAATAATTAATACAGATAGTTTGATAAAAGTCCATTTTACTATGCTGAAAAAAAGATTTTTGGTATATGTCAAGATTGTTAATGTATAGTAAAAACTTTGTAAGCCATCACCTATGGTATATATGTTTCAGTAATTTCAAAATTTCCCTTTTGTGTTTTTCTTCAGAGTAACTGTGGCCAAAAAATAAAAATTCGTCGTGTTTTAATGAATTGCCCAGAGATTGTTACAATTGGTTTAGTCTGGGATTCTGAGCATTCTGACTTGACTGAAGATGTTGTTCGGAATCTAGCAACACATCTTTATCTTCCTGGGGTATCTCAACTGTTTTCATTGACTTCCTTTTTGTTTTTAAATTCTTTTAAAACATACTTGTATACTATGATACATTTTGTTTTTCAGAATTAAATTTTCTTTCTAAAGGAAAGATGTAATCCTGATAAAGTTCATCAAATCAGGCTAAGTGGAATGCCTTTCTTGCATAGACTAGTAATGGCTTTTAATTATAAACAGTCTCGTGCTCTAATTCTGTATCACTTTTGAATGGTGATATTGATGATAAATATGTGTGTTTGTGTGTATGGTAATGACCAGTATAAATTTTAACCTAGAAATGTTTAAGATTCAAAATTCATCTACAGCACTGATCTTTTAATATGCATAATAATATATTTTGAATTGGTTCACAATTTACAATTGTAATCTTTTAGATAATTATCTTTTAGATAATATGTTTAATGTACATTCAAACATGTGATTTAGTAAAAAATTATTAGGAGCTGTGTAATTTGTCCCCCATTTCCAGTTTATGTATATAAAGTGTCAATTCTGTGTTATTGGAGGCAATGTGTTACTGTGTTACTGAACTAAATTGTAGTAATTTTATTGAGCTAATGGTTATAGTTAATAGTAATAATTAATAGTAATTCTGTTCAGTACAATGTCAGCGGTGCCTTCTATACTAATATAATACTGGATTGGGGAAGCTTATAAGAAATATTTTTCATAGTCTAACACATGACTCACCAAATTATTGTTCCTCATTTTTAAAAAGATACAGTATTAAATACATGTTATTATTTTTTAAAACAGCTTTTTTATAGGGTTACTGATGAAAATGCCAAAAATAGTGAACTTCACCTTGTCGGGATGATCTGCTATACCAGCCGACATTATTGTGCCTTTGCTTTTCATACCAAGAGTTCCAAGTGGGTATTTTTTGATGATGCAATGGTGAAGGAGGTAAGTGATACTTTTACTGTGATGATTATTGTGATGTTTGTTTTTTAGGAATAAATGAAATCATGATATATTAAATGTATATCACATAATGATAAAATTATGTACTGATTAAATACTTATTACAAAATTATTATAATATAAAATAATAAATGACCTTAATGATAATAGCATTGTTAAGTTCATGCTCCCTTTTTTTATTTTTTAAATCTGGTTTATTTTAAAGCCAACTTTTAAGCCAGTCTATTTGCAGAATAATAAAAAGGTGACTAATAAATGTTAGAATGCAAATATGTAACTGTCAGTGATTCATAAGTATTCCCTTTTGCCCGATGCAGAGTTGCTCTCTGTATTTCTTTGTGAATGATTCACAATTGCTTTGTATAATTAGGAAAATTTGCTGGTTTTTTTTTTTTTTTATTTATTATGACTGCCTTTTCAAGCTTTTTGGTATTCAGAATTGGATATACCTATTATATCTTTTGTGAATTATTTATTCAAACATTATAGTATTTAGCAAACTAGTGAATAAGAGTTTGTAATAAGGAGTATGTATCAGAATCACCCTTGGAGCTTTTGAAAAAATTCTATTCTATCAGGAACTTCATCAGCTTCACCATTCTTTCCCTCCAAAAAGAGGGCTCCGAGTAATAACCAAGTGATCTCCAAGGTCAGAAAGATCCAAAGTGACAGAGACGGAAATACTCAGACAAGAGTGTGACAACTGCTATTTTAGTATAGAGAGATTATATAGATGCTGTTTCAGTATAGGAGAATAACAGACTGGGACAAAATATTTGTCAAGCATATATCTATAAAGATTATATCCAGAATATATAAGGACTCTTAAAACTCAATAATTAAAAGATAAGTCAATTAAAAATGGGCAGAAAAGATAATAGGGGAAGATAGTGGAGTAGGAGGACCCTAAGCCCACCTTGTCCCGTGGAAACAACTAGATAACACTCACATCAGTGTAAATAACTCAGAAAACTACTCAAAGACTGTCAGAACAAACTCCACAACTGAAAGTAGAGAGGATGCCACATTGAGTAAGGGAGGAAGGGCAGAGACATGGTGGGGAGCTAAACATCACAGGCTGCCTGCAGGAGGGAGGGACTTGGGGTGAGAAAAAGGGAGAGCAACAGACTATCCCCATAATATTTGGCTTTGAAAACTAAAGGGCTGAATTTCACAAGTTCTTAGAACCAATAGGACTTAATACTAGCAAACTAAATCCAACGATACATTAAAAAAATCATCCACCATGATCAAGTGGGATTTATTCCTGGGTTGCAAGGAGAGTTTAACAATTGCAAATCAATCAACATGATATACCATATTAATAAAAGAAAGGATAAGAAACCCCATGATCATTTCAATAGATGCAGGAAAAGCATTGACAAAGTACAATATACATTCATGATAAAAGCCCTCAACAAAGTAGATTTAGAGGGAACATACCTCAACATAATAAAGGCCATATATGAAAAAACCCACAGCTAACATCACTCAGTGGGGAAAAAAACAGGTTTTCCTCTATGGTCAGCAGCAAGACAGGGATGTCCAACATCACATCTCACCATTACTATTGAACACGGTACTGGAAGTCCTAGCCACAGCAATCAGACACCAAGAAGAAAAGGTCCAAATTAGCAAGGAGGAAGTAGAACTTTCACTATTTGCAGATGACATGATACTCTATATAGAAAATCCTAAGACTCTGCCAAAAAATTGTCAGAATTGATAAAATTAGTAAAGTCACAGGATACAAAATCAATGTACAGAAATCTGTTGCATTTCTATACACCAGTAACGAAGTAACAGAGATATCAAAGAATCAATCCTATTTACATTTGTACCAAAAACGGTTAAGATACCTAAGGCATAAACCTAACCAAAGAGGCGAAAGACCTGTACTCTGAAAACTAAAAACACTGTTGAAATTGGAGATGACACAAAGAAATGAAAAAACACCCCATGATCATAGACTGGAAGAACAAATATTGTTAAATGTCTCTACTACCCAAAGATGTCTAAACATTTAATGCAATCCATATAAAAAAAAAAAACAGCATTTTTCACAGCTAGGAGAAATGAGCCTAAAATTTATGTGGAACCACAAAAGACTCTTAAGTAGCCAACGCAACCTTGAAAAAGAAGCAAAGCTGAAGGCATCACAATTCAGGAGTTCAGATTATACTACAAAGCTGTAGTGATCAAAAACAATATGGTACTGCACAAAAGTAGACAAAGAGATCAATGGAACAGAATAGAAAACTCCAAAAGGAGTCCACAACTATATGGTCAATTTATCTTTGACAAAGCAGTAAATAATATTCAATAGGAAATAGTCTCTTCAAAAAATGATGCTGGGAAATTGGAACAGCAACATACAGAAGAATCAGACTGGACCACTTTTTCACAGTATGCACAAAAATAAATTCAAAATAGGTTAAATGTAAGGCTTGAAAACATAAAAATCACAGAGGAGGACACAGGCCGTAACCTTTTTAACGTTGTCTATAGCAACTTCTTTCTGGATATGTCTCCTGAGGCAAGAGAAACAAAAGCAAAAATAAATTATTGGGACTTCATCAAAATAAAAAGCTTCTGCACAGCAAAAGAAACAGTCAACAAAACTAAAAGGCAACCAACAGAATGGGAGAAGATATTTGCAAATGATATATCTGATAAAGGGTTAGTATCCAAAATAAATAAACAAGCTATAAAACTCACAGGCTGAAAAATGAATAATCCAATTAAAAAATGGGGAGAAGACATGAATAAACATTTCTTTAAAGAAAACATACAGATAGTCAACAGACACATGAAGAGATGCTCAGCATCATTGACCATCAGGAAAATACAAATCAAAACTACAATTAGATATCATCTCAGCACCTGTCAGAAGGGCTAAAATCAACAACACAAGAAACAACAAGTGTTGGTGAGGATGTGAAGAAAGGGAAAGACTCTTGCACTGTTGGTAGAAATGTAAACTGGTGCAGCCACTCTGGAAAACAATATGGAGTTTTTTCAGAAAGTTAAAAATAGAACTACTCTACAATCCAGTAATTGGCATTACTTGGTATTTAAAGAATACAAAATTTAAAAAATGCAAAAATTCATTCAAAGGGATATATGCACCCTGATTTGTAGCAGCATTATTTATAATAGCCAAATTAAGGAAACAGACCACATGTCCATTGACTATTGAATGGATAAAGATGTGGTGTACACACACACACACACACACACAGAAATATTACTCAGCCATCAAAAAGAATGAAATCTTGACATTTGCAATGGGTGGAGCTAGAGAGTGTTATGCTAAGCGAAATCAGAGAAAGACAAATATCATATGATTTCACTTATATGTGGAATTTAAGAAATCAAATAAACGAGCAAAGGGGGAAAAAGAGGCAAACCAAGAAACAGACCCAACTATAGAAAACAAACTGGGGACACCTGGGTAGCTCAGTTGATTGAGCTTCCAACTCTTAATTTCAGCTCAGGTCAGGATCCCAGGGTCGTGGGATCAAGCCCTGTGTCAGGCTCCATGCTGAGCATGGAGGTTACTTAAGATTCTCTTCTTCTGTCCCTCTTCCCTGCTTGTTCTCTCTCTCTCTCTCTCTCTCTCTCTCTCAAATAAAAAATAAAATAAAATAGAGAACTGATGGCTACCAGAGGGAGGTGGGTGGGAGGATGAGCGAAAGGGGGTAGGAATTAAGGAGTGCACCTGTGATTAACATGAAATGACATATGAAAGTATTGAATTACTGAATTGTACACCTGAAACTAATATTACACTGTATGTTAGTTACCTAACTGGAATTTAAATAAACACTTAAAAAATTAATTACATAAACTAAAACACATATACACAAAATATGCTCACAATACATATGTGACTTGCCTACCATTTTACATGTGATACTAATTCAGAAATGGAAAATGGAGAGACAAGGAAAAACTAAGCGCTCCTAGACAAAGCTTTGACATGTAAAATTTAGCTTGAAGACTTCAACATCCCTTTTCTTCTTCGACCTTTTCCCCAACCATGATGTGCCCCTGTTCCTGAGAGCTCCTCTCCTCTATGACTCCAAAACTCTTGAGGCTCTGGTCCAGAATTTAACAGGTTTACTTGTGGGGTTGGTTTTGTGGGTTTTTTTTTTTTTTCTTCTTCTTCTTCTTCTTTTTTTTTTGGCTGTATCAAAATTTCCTTTTATTTGATCTTTTAGCAGCAAGATCAAATAAAAGGAAAATCTGTCGTCTGTGAAACCCTACAGAGAGCTCCTGAGATCATACAGTATTGTAGTTGTTCACCTTGTTTACCTTTAAAGAAAATCATGAGAAAAGTAAATCTGACCAAAGTGTCTTAATGTCAGCAGAGGAAGTCTATAGTGCTGTCACAAGGACTTCTAAGAAGGGGGAGTGAAGGGCTCATTTAGCTGTGAGTGACTCTGCAACCCAGAGTGACTCCTTGGTCTTTGAGTGTATCCATTGCGTAGTGCCCTGGTGGCTCATGGGAACGCATTAAGGACAGTCTGGAAGGCTGGCGTGATAAGGTGAGAGGAGTGCTTACAGTATCTTTCTTGCCCCAAGGTTAGGAGAATCCTCTCAGGGGCCATCCTTCTCCCCTGTGATGTGAAGTGCATTCTGTTTTGCCTTGTCAGCTCCTGAACCTTTATAATACACATCAGGACCTGAGTAGCCAGAGAACCTAGCTGAAGGCAAAGAGGTGCTGACCGTAGGAAAAGAACAGGCATGGAAAGAGGAGAAGGGTGAGAGACATGAGAGCCTTCCAGGTCTGAGTTTGAAAAACAGTATCTTTTTGGAGTTTGGGATGAAAGTGAAATGAGTGTCCCAGCCAGAGGTATGAAGAAGGAAAGAGAGCAAAATGAAAAAAAGAATTGCAAGGTTTTTGTGTGTAAGAATTATTGGCTGTAATTGCTTTCAGGCATAATTAAAATAAAGGTTTAATTTACTTTTCTATTTAAAAAATCTTAGAATTAAAAAAAATCCATGGATTTGGTTCTGAAGATCCTGAGAGTGGAGAGCCATAGGATTGGAGTTCCTGCCCTTAAAAAAAAAATGCTATTCAGTAAAATATTAGGTACAAGGAAAATAAAAATTCAGTTCACAGTGAGATTTTATTATTTACCTGTTAGAAAGCGAAAATTTAAAAAACTGACTATACCAAGAGTTGGTGAGGATGTGATCTCTCACAGAAGAATGGTGGAAATGGAGAATGAACTTTAGAAAACAGCTTATCAATTTCTTATAAACTTAAACATGTACTTACCATACAAACTAGTAATTCCACTCCTTTGAAAACATGCCCATACAAAACTTGTACTTTAATGTTTATAGTAGTTTTGTTCATAATAACAAAAACTGGAAACAACTCACATGTCCATATGCAGGTGAGTGGATAAACAAATTGTGTTATAAGCATTCAATGGAATATGATACTCAGCAGTAAAAAGTAGTGAACTATTTATTGAAAGATGCAATAATGTGGAAAAATCTGAAAAGGAGTATGTTTAAGAATAAGACCTAAACAACTGTGATTCTCCCTATGTAAAATTCATGAAAAGGAAAAAACAGAGTGACAGAAAGTAAATCATTAGTTGCCAGTCACTGCAAAGGGGGTACAAGGGAAGTTTTTGGGGGCAGGAGATACATGATTGTATGTGTACATTTGTCAGAATTCATTGGCTAATATTCTGTAATTGGGTAGTTTTATTTCATGTAAAGTATACTCAATAAAGCCAATGAGAAAATTTGGGTATTTATATTCTATGATAAACATTTTGCTCAAATTATTCAGTACTTTGATATAGCAGTTTATTAACAAGTTCTGTCTTGAGTCCATGTGTAGCAACATCACTCTTTCCATCCACATAGTTTAGCTTAAATGGTCAAAATTTGAAGAAAGAATCGACTGTATGGTTACCCTGTGAGTTTTATGTTTGTTTTCAAATTACTCCGTTTCCTCAAGTATCTCAGAATCCAGGGTCAGGAGGGTAAACAGCTCAATATGTGTAGTTTGAAAAAGCTCTTTTTTTTTTTTTTTTTAATATCCCTTCCTTCTATGCAAAAACCAATATTCTAAAGTAGTTTGCTTTTTATATGGTTGGTTTTATTTTTTTAATCAAATTTATAGAAGTATAATTTATAAATATTAAAATGCACCAATTTAAGTATATAGTTTGGGCTTGGACAAGTGTGTATATATCCATGTAACCTACATAATCATTATATAGAACAGTTTCATCACCCAGAAAATTCTGTCATGTCCCTTTACTGTCAATACCCTCTTACCTGGACCTCAGAAGAACACTGATCTCGCTATAGATTAGTTTTGTTCATTCTACAGTTTTGTAAGAATGGTGTCTTACAGTCTCTCTTCTCTGGGTTTGGCTTTCTTTTACCAAGCATAATGCCTTTTAAGATTCATTTGTGTTCAAAAAAAGATTCATTCATTGTTATTGCTGTGTTCCATTGTATGGCTGTATAACACTTTATCCACTTACCTGCTGAAGTATGAATAGTTTTTGAGTGAACATAATTTTTCCCCCATTGCGCTTAGCTGATACTCAGAAGTGGAACTTCTGGGTGGTATAAGTGTATGTTAAACTCTACAAGGAACTTGAAAGTTGATTGTCAAAGTGATTGTACCAATTTACAGTCCTGTTAAGTAAGCAGTGTGTAAGAGATCCAGTTGCTCTGCATTCTCAGTAGCATTTTATGTTGTTAATCTTAGCCCTTTTAATGAATGCATAATATTATCTCAGCGTGGTTTTATTTTGCATTTCCCTTATGATTCATAATGTTTTGAGTACTTTTTTGTGTGCTTGTTGGCCATTCTTCTATTTTTTTGGTAAAGTGTCTTCAGATGTTTTGCCCATTTTAAATTGGATTATCTAATTAATGAATTATAGAGATTCTTTGAACTGCACACCAGTCCTTTATTAGATGTATATGGCTTGTTGTTTTTCATTTTCTTAATGGTATCTTTCAAAGAGCAGTAGTTATGAAGGCCATTTTATACCTTTTTTCTTCTGTGGTCTGTTTGATGTCCTAAGAAATCTTTAACTACTCCAACCTTAAGATTTCTCTTTATTTGCTTCTATAAGTTTTATAATTTTTGTATGACTCATTTGGTTTAATTTTTGTGCTGTGCATGTGTAGTGGTATCAAAGTTCATTTTCTCATATGGCCATCCAGTTTTCTAGCGCCATTGTCGAATAGACTCTTATGTTTCTCCATTAAATTGCTGGTAAATTTTGTCAAGAGTCAGTCAACCATGTATCTGGAAAAACTTTTTAAAATGTGGTAGCCTGAATCTTCATATAGCAGGTGTACAATTTTACCCATCAGTTTTTTTAATGATAGTGTTTAAAAGATTTTTATTTAGACTAGTTTAAAATAAAAGTGATCAGATAACATGATGAACAACTGAACAACTAGCATCTGAATTCTTTAAAATTTTTTAATATACAAATTAACTCAGTCTCTGCTATTTATGTAATACATTACGCAATTTTGTTTTGTTTTTCTTCATTGTGGTTTTTTAAAGGTTGGAACTAGATGGAAGGATGTGGTCTCCAAGTGTATCCGATGCCACTTCCAGCCACTGCTTTTGTTTTATGCAAACCCAGATGGCACAGCAGTTTCTACTGAAGATGCGCTTAGGCAGGTCATCAACTGGTCACATTATAAATCTGTTGCAGAAAATATGGGTAATTTTTAAAAGTTCTTTTTAGTGTTTTTTTTTTTATAGTATCACAGTCACATTAAGATAAAATGAGTTTTGAGGATAATTTCAAAATTTAGTTTCGGTAAAACAGTTCAGGAAAATTTTATTACCTTGAGTTAATCTTTATATCTTTCCTCACTGGTGGCCTCTCAAACACCCTCAAGAGTTACCCACTTCTGTGGTCACACAAGCACAGAAGGGTTTACTTGGCTGGAAGCTGTTTCTAGCAGTAAATATTGAGATAAAGTGACTTATACACTGAAAAAGCCCAAAGGAGCCTAGGCCCATTTTTAGATGCATTACAGAACATATTGAAATACTTTAAAAATGTCAATCCTGAGTATCTGGGTGGCTCAGTCTGCTAAGTGTCTGATTCTTGATTTCAGCTCAGGTCATGATCTCATGGTAGTGAGATCAAGCCCCGAGTTGGGCTCCATACTGAGCATACTGAGCTTGGAGCCTGCTTAGGATTGTTGTGGTCCCTCCCTCTCTGCCCCTCCCTCACACACACATGTTCTATAAATAAATAAATAAATAAATAAATAAATAAATAAATAAATAAAAATAAAAATAGGGATGCCGAGGTGGCTCAGTTGATTAAGCCTGAGTCTTAATTTCGGCTCAGGTCATGATCGCATCATTTGTTGATTCAGGCCCCGAATTGGGCTAACTGCTGTCAGCACAGAGCCTACTTGGGATTCTCTCTCTCTCTCTCTCTCTCTCTCTCTCTCTCTCTCTCTCTCTCTCGCTGCCCTTATCCTCTCCCCTCTCAAAAATAAACTTAAAAAAAAAAGTCTGACAAATGTGTATGGTGTGTGTATATATAAAGTTTATGTATATATGTATACACACACACACACCACCTATATATATATAAATATATGTTATATAATTTATATAAATTATATAAATTTATATACATGTATAAAATCAGTGCCAATCCTTTGAGTTTGTAAGTGATTGTCTACATTATTAAAAATGATTCGGGGTGCCTGGCTCAGTCGGTGGAGCATGCAGCTCTTGATCTCAGGATTGTAAGTTCGAGGCCTACATTGGGTGTAGAGATTACTTAAAAATAAAATCTTTAAAAAAAAAAAAGATTCAAACTTCATTTCTTCTGGTGGGGAGGAGGATGGGAATAATACATTTTTGTTTGTTGTTTAAGGATGTGAAAAGCCCATAATTTATAAGCCAGATAATTCAAAAGAGAATGGATTTGGTGATCAGGCAAAACAGAAAGAAAATCAGAAATGTCCAGCAGATAATATTTCATCACTTAATCGGAACCACATTCAAACAAGTGGCAGAAGAGGGCTAAGTATGTGTTTAAGTTGTCATTTTTACATTGTCCCCAAGTAATTATGCTTCCCCCACTTTCTTGTTTACTCTATCTGTAATTTCTAGTGAGTACCATACAGAAGGAGAGTGCTTAACTAACTTTTTTTGGCCATGAAGAGAAAATAACTAGATGATAACATTTTGTCTTTTAACATAAGCATTTCTCTCAGACTTGTAGTTTTATCTGAACAGTTTGAACTTGACTACTGTTTGGGTTTCTCCATACGCTGAGGCCTGTAGAGGCTGGAGGCAATCTGGACTGTTACCAAAGTCGTCATACAGCTTTTCCTTCTAGGAGTTAAATATTAACTTGGAGAGGAAAAACATGAGTTAATAATTTGGCTCCTAGGCTAAAATTAAATTTACCATTAGTGAATGCAGCAGTAGTTCAGAGTTATTATAGTTGTACTTTATATTTAACTTCATTTTTATTTAACCCTCTGTTGTTATTGTCATACCACAAGTTTAATTTTCACAAACCAAGTTCTGTGACTTGGGGTCCACAATGAGACATTGCAGCATGGTGTGTGTAGTAGTTTTGATTTAGAAGTATATTAAACTCTAATTGGGTGGATGTTCAGGATGATTTTATAAGCAGCTTTAAAGTACATTAATGAAGGCAAACCATAAGAGACTCTCAAATAATGAGAACAAACTGGGGGTTGATGGAGGGCAGGGGAGAAAGGGTAAATGGGTGATGGACATTAAGGAGGGCACTTGTTGGGTGAGATGAGCACTGGGTGTTGTATGGAAACCAATTTGACAAATTGTATTAAAAAATACATAAATGAAATAATGTCTAACCATAAAAGTAACCCATTTAATCAAGGGTGGTAGCATCCAGAATTAACAGTTATCATCAACAAAGAATTACAGGGGTGCCTGGGTGGCTTGGTTGGTTAATCGTACAACTCTTGATTTTGATTTAAGTCATGATCTTATGGCCATGGGATTGAGCCCTGAGTTGGGCTCAGCATAAAGCCTGCTTGGGATGTTTTCTCTCTCCCTCCCTACCCCTTCCCCTCCCTCCTTCTCTGTCAAAAATAAATAAAAAACAAAAACAAGGAATTACAATAAATGCTTTTAAAAGTTCTTAATGAGACTATCTTTTACCATCTGTATTGGTCATACTCTTAGATTAAGCTGTTAACCGATTTGTCAAAAGATAAGAACTTTTAAGCCCCAAAACTGTATGTGATTACAAACCCAGACAACCTGGGTTTATAATCCTGGTTCTACATTTGCAAGTTGTATGAACCTAGGCAAGTTTTTAGCTTCTTTTGTACCTCAATTCCCTGATCCACAGTGGAAACAGTAATTGTACCCATCTCAAAAAATTAAATGAGTTAAGACTTAGAATGGTGTCTGACACATAGCGACCACTCAGTTACATTTAGCTTTTAGTATTTCAATATAAGATCTCTTTTTTCTCTTTGCACATAGCTTTGAGGAGTTATACAAGAAGTTTTAAAAGCCATCATGCATCTCCAGTGTCAGGATAAAGCACATTGAGTTTTTTGACTAAGCATAGAAATAAGTTAATTGTATACTTTATACTTGGCTTTTAATATATAACATGTTAAAATATTTATGTAGTACAATTTGTGCTTTTATTGAGAAATTTGAAAAATGATCTATATCATTTATAAGAATGGTTTCTTTTACAGTTAAGTTAAGTCACAATGATCAAAGGGAAAAAATAAAAGACATTTCTAGAGAATGTGCTTTAAAGGCCATTGAACAGAGAAACTTACTTTCTTCACAAAGGAAGGATTTGGAGAGGGGACAAAGAAAAGATTTGGGCCGACATAGAGGTAAGCTAAGAGCTTACAGCGTTCATTTGAAAAGGGGTTGCTAAAATCTTATTTTTAAGCTAAATTTTGTAACTTCATTACAAATTAATATAATTTATTTATCATATATACTTGTTTACATACGATGTTATGGATCATAATATGATTTCTTTAATACACCTATTACATCTTATAAATATAATTGTTTTTGGGTTCTTATTAATTTTAGCCTAGAATACTTGTGCTTGTTTTGATGTTTTAACTTTCCTTGTAATTATAAATTCACTTCACCCATATGGTACATTCAGATAAGAAGGAGGTTATAAAATAAGTGAGGAGAGCTTCTTTTCCTACAGCTCCTCACCCTTCCTCTATTTCACCCTTCATAGTGTCCAGTTCATTATGAGCATGCCTTACACTTCATGGTTTTGTCCTTTTTTCATTATGGACACACCATTAACTTAAATGATACTGCTAGACATTAAAACTTGATTTGAGATTTTTGCTGCAGTGATATCCTTTTACATACACTTTTGTATACTTTTTTGTGTATAGCCAGAGCATTAAACTCTTTCAGGAGAATGGCTGGGTTAAGGTATGTTTATTCTTAATTTTGCTGGATGTGGCTCAGTTGCTCTGCTCAAAGCCTGAGCCATTCAGCACTTCTACTGGCAGTGATTGGATGTCTGTTTTTCACACCCTCAGCAGCAATTGGTTAAACAAACTTTTAAACCTTTACCAATGTAAGAAGTAGAAAATACCCTTGTAGTTATGATTTTCATTAATTATGAGTGAGACAGATTACTATTTTTAAACTGCTTTAATTATCTTATCTACCTTAGAGATCATTTTTTTAATCAGTATATATAACCACTTATAAATGCCTCTCATTAAGCATAGAGAAGGAAAAACTTTTTAACATCAAATCTCTATGTCATATAACATAAATCTTATTTTTTACTTATTTCTGCCTAACATTTCTTCTCAAACAAGGTGTTTGACTTGTGACTAAGAGATGTCTCTGAAGAGTACTCATTTGTATCTTCATTTGATTATTTTTAAAGATTTTGTTGATGAAGACCTTCCACACTTCAAGTCTGGATCACCTCCTGCCCCAAATGGCTTTAGACAGTATGGAAATCCACAGCTATATCATAGTCAAGGAAAAGGACCATATAAACATGACCGAGTTGCCCATCAGAGTCGAGCTTCTGCACAAATACTGAGTTCAAGTAAATCCCAGATTCTTGCTCCAGGAGAGAAAGTAACTGGCAAAGTTAAGAGTGACAGTGGCACTGGATATGATACAGACAGCAGCCAAGATTCTAGGGATAAAGGAAGCAGCTATGGTGGCTGCAGTAAAAACCGGAACCGAGGTTGGAAACCCATGAGGGAAACATTGAATGTTGATAGCATTTTTAATGAAAGTGAAAAAAGGCAACATAGTCCAAGACATAAATCAAGTATCAGTAACAAACCTAAATGTAGCAAAGATCAGAGTTTTGACAATTGGCCAAAGGAGAACCCAAAGCAAAAATGTTTAATGACCATATATGAAGATGAAATGAAGCAGGAAATAGGCAGGAGTTCCCTTGAATCAAGTGGAAAAGGGGCAGAGAAAAATAAAGGCCTCAAAGAGACTAAAGTTCACGGAGACAATTGGCAGATGCAGAGGACTGAGTCTGGATATGAAAGTAGTGATCATGTCAGTAATGGATCTGCTAATTTGGATTCACCTGTTATCGATGGAATTGGTACAGTAATGGATGTCAGTGGTGTCAAAGAAACAGTATCCTGCAGGTAATGCACAAATTAAATGAATGATTTCACCCCATCTCCTCTCTTGTTAGTTATGTGAAGTGATTTTCAAAGTCTCGGGTCAGTTAAGTATAAGGGAAAGAGCTTGACTTTTGAGTGAAGAAAACTGGGATATCACAAGTTAATTGATAATTTCAAGTTTCTGTTTTTAATAGTTACTTCCTGATTCTGAAAATAACTTTATTTTTAGGAAATTTTAGAAGTGCAGAAATACATTATCACTGTTGCCACTGATAAGCATTAATATATACTACAGGTTTTATTTATTTATTTTTTTTTTAATTTTTTTTTTTTTTTTTAATTTATTTCTAGGAGAGAGAGAGAGAGAGAGACAGCATGAGCAGGGGAGGGTCAGAGAGAGAGGGAGATACAGACTCCGAAATAGGCTCCAGGCTCTGAGCTGGCAGTCAGCACAGAGCCCGATGCGGGGCTCGAACCCACGAACCGCAAGATCATGACCTAAGTGAAAGTCGGACGCTTAACCGACTAAGCCACTCAGGCGCCCCTATACTACAGGTTTTAAAACATAGACTTAAATTGGTTGTGTCTCAGTCATTAAGCTAATTATTTAATTATTCAGTCTAATGTTCATTGTCCCGTCTCTAACATCCATAACTCAGAACTTGGGATATTTTCTATTTTCACAGCCAGTTACGTGGAAGAAATATTTTTCCTTTAGTAAACATAAAAGAATGTAGCCAAATAACTAAGCTTGTGTTCAGTTAATTCTGAATATATTTTTATGTTTCTGGTAGCAACACATTTGCCCTTTCCTGTGTAACCTCTAAAACATGTCCACAGCTTAAATTTTAGATTTCTTATATCAGTCTAGCCACAATTTCTGCTTTTAATCCAAGTAAAACATCTTAATTTGCTATTAGCTGGTGTTTTACCACATTTATTATTAAAAGGCCAGATTCTCAAAAATCAGCTGCTTGTATTATATTAAATAATCATTGCAATAAGGACTTAGGAAAACATTTTTATTGGGCAGGGTAATTTCATAACACTTCTTGGAAAGGGGTAGCCTAGGGTATAGAAAGATCAGGACTTTGTAACCAGATAGTCTTGGGCAAATTAATTTGACTTTGATAGCCTTAATCTCCTTGTAAAATGAGGATAATAACTACTTTTAAGTGTTGCTATGAGATGTAAATTAAATACTGTACATTAATCCCCTACAACAATACAGGGCATGCAATAATTCTTTAACAAGTATTATTTCCTTTCTTTTTTCTTAGATTCTAACTAAAATAATCCACGATAGCTGATGTACTTTGTATGTGTTTTGTTCTGTTTTCTAGTGACCAGGTTAAAACAAGCAACCTAAATATAGAATATATCAACTGTTCTTCCCAACAGAGCAAAAACTACTTAGAAGGTAAAATTTTTTTAAAATATATTGTAATAGTAGCTGTAAAGAATAAGTTGTGGTGATAAGAGTAAAGAAGCTAGTACGGTCCTGTTACTGGTAAGATTAAGAGTAATGAGGATGGAAGTAGGGAGAATTCATGCTTGAAGTTTTTTAAAGGATGGGAATAGCTAGTTCAGGACTTGGCCAAGAGGGGAATGTGTCTGTCAGGATAGGCTAAACTCTAGGTTACACAGTGGTAGCAACTTAAAGATCTCGGTGTGCCAGCACACATTTGTGTTTTGCTTATGATATATAACCAGTGGAGGTCAGCTTGGAGTCCTTCCTAGAAATCACTCAGGAATCTGCACTAATGAGACTGCATCTCCACAGATGCTTCTCTGATCCTTGCAGTATTGTGGGGAGAGGAGATTGAAGGAGGGCACAACAATCATGCCTAAGCTCTTATAACTTCAACCCAGTAGTGATACATGTACTTTCACTCACATCTCATTGGCCAAGGCGTTGTCTCATTGCCAAGACTAATTTCAGAGGTGGAAAAGAGCAGTCTTACCAGTACTTGGAAGATGAACCAAAATATGCGTGAACAGCCCTGAACCCACCACAGGTGTTAAGGACATGATAGAAACACGGATAAATAGCCTGTTAGAAAAGTTCAGTTTGGAAACAGTAAATATATTCATGGGGTGTGGCATTATTACAGGCGATCTGTTACTCATACATAGAGGCCCAGAAACAAAATTAGGTGTTTCAATGTGTATAGAATTCAAGGTTGCTATTGAGAGGCTATAGCTGAAGGATCTGGGGGAGAAGAATCGAAAATGATGAGCGAGGAGATTATTGAGTTTGCAATCAAGGACCTATTTTCAAATATTAGAATTCAGAGGATTATAAAAGTTAATTTTTCACAATAAAACTAGCCATGAAGAACAAATTTTTAAAGTTTGTTTTTAATCTTTATCATTCTTAAGGCTTTTGTGGAGATTATTTTAAGGTTACAGACAGGGAATATGATTAAATGTTAAATTATTTTGTTTTTATCAAATGGTATAATATCAGAAGGAAACACTTATATTAAGGAAATAACCTTCCTTTCCTATATAAAATGTGTCGCCTGTTTTAAAAATCTGATAAAAGTCTGGTAACCAAGTATTACAGGAAACAGTAAAAGGTTGGACAGAAATCAGCAGCAAAAGTCGGTGACATTGAACAATAACTGCAAGTTCAGTACTTCTTACAAAATGATACTTGCTTCCTGGTAGTAAAAACACAAGGTTATAGAGATTGTGATGGTCAAGAATGCATTGCTGTAAGAGCTTTGTAGTGGGTTTCCTCATTTAATATCAAAGAGTATGTATATAGCCTACTTCAGAATATTTTTTATTGTGGTAAAATACACATTACAAGTTTGCCATTCTAGCCATTTTGAAGTGGCAGTTTAGTGGTATTAAGAACAGTCACACTGCTGTGCAGCCATCACTACCGTCCATCTCCAGAACTCTTTCAGCTTCTCAAAATTAAATTCTTGTACTCCTTAAAAAACTCTCCATTTCCCCCTCCTTCCCAGGCCCCAGCAACTACCATTCTACTTTTATCTCTGAGTTGACTACTCTGGGTACCCCAGATAAGATAAGATAAATACAAACAGTATTTGTTGTGTGGGGTTTTTTTTGTGTGTGTGACTGGTTTATTTCACTTAACACAGGGTCTTCAGAGTTCATCCATGTTGTGGCATGTGTCAGGATTTTATTCCATTTTTAGACGGAATGATCATATATTGTATGATGTAACACATTTTGTTTGTCCATTCATCTATTGATAGACATTGGGGTTGTTTCTGTCTTTTGGCTATAGCGAGTAATGCTCCTGTGAACATTGGTGTACAAATATCTGAGAGTTCCTGCTTTCAGTTCTTTTGAGTATATATCCAGAAGCACAATTGCTGGATTCTCTGGTAATTATGTGTTTATTGTTTTGAGGAGCCATCATACTATTTTCAGTAGTAGCTCCACCATTTGACATTCCCACCAGCAATGTACAAGAGTCTCCTCTACTTCTCCATATTTCACCAACAGTTGTTTTCTGCGGTTTTGTTTTGATAACTACCATCATTCATGGGTGTGAAGTAGGTTTCTAATTGTAGTTTTATGTAACCCACTTAATTAACTACATAAATTGTATTATGTTAAAATTATTTCTTATTTAACAAACTTCAGATTCTACCACAGTTCTTTAAGCTGGTCTTGGCCTTGAGGATCTCTGTTAATGCTTCTGCCCTATAGCATCACTATGTATTCCCCTTCCCTGCTCTTTGAGAACATGTTAAAGTAGTATAGGAGTTTTTTCCCCGAGCTAAAAACATTCCCTGTGTGGATTTTTGTTTTAAGTAACGCACAGTTTAATTAAATTCTTTGTGATTTGATATGATTTCCTTGGTTTTGTCCTATTTCTTTATAAAATGGAGGTACACTTATTTATTTGAAGAATCTCTTCCTATTCTATGTTATATAAGACTTACAAAGTTAAGGAACTTTAGAAATTGTTTTACTCATATTTATGGTATTTAAGTCAGTTTTTAATACTAGCCTGTACAAGTTTATTTGATGTTAGAGATCTAAGAATCTACATTAGTGCCATGCCCTCATAATTATTTCCTTGGTGTTTTTTCATTGACAAAGATATATAGATTTCTCTGCCTGTGTCATTATGGGTTCTGCTGCCTAAAGCTATTATTTGGGAACATTGTTGAAACTTCACCGTTTAGATTGTTTTAGCTCCTCTTTTAAAATGGGTCACTAATCAGGACAATTTCAAATGCCTTAAATTACACTCAGGACAGAAGAAATTACATGTTCACATGGTCAGGAGAAAGTACCACATATTAGAAAAATACAGGTAGTTTAGTATATGCAAAGCTGAGTGCATATGTGGAAATTGTGAGATGGCAGATGGAAGGTAGATAGAAGCCCAGTCATGATGAAACTTTTATGCTATTTTTAAATTCTACAGTAAATGGAAAGGCAGCAGAGGACACGAAGAGTAATATACTCCAGTTTGCATTTTAGAAAGCCTCTGGTGGCAATGTAGAGGGTGAGTTTGAGCAGTGGGAGGAGAATTAGATGACTGCTTTAACAGCCTGGAGTGAAAGGGTGAGGGCATAAACTAAGACAGTACTCAGTGTCAGAAAAGAAGATTTGAGAGTTTGTAAGAATGTGTAGACAATGGAGTCAGCGTTTTTGACAGCTGTACAAAAGAGAGGAAAAGGAGGAAGCTGGGGATAGCTGTATTTGGAACTAAAATAAGTAGGTTCACAGTTTACCAAATCAAAGAATATAGGAAGAAGAAACAGCTTTCAGGGGATGAAAGCAGATGCCAAATTTATCTTTGGATTTGTTTTATCATCTTGGTAAATAGACTTATTAGGCAGTTAGGGACATAAGTCTACAACTAAAGAGAGATTATGTATTGGGTAACCACCCACATATACGGGAATTGACATCACTCAGGAAAACTGGAGATTTCAGAGGAAAAAAATAGACAAAGGAAAAAACTTGGGGTTTGCTGTCTAGTAAGAGAGATGAGCTAAGGATAGAGAGAAGGAGAAACTTTGGGAAAGTATGGGGAATAGCTAAAAGGTATGAGAAAATACAGGAGATAAGATTATCACAGGGAAACCAGGAAAATGGGGAGCTTCAGGAAAACAAGTGGTCGCAGATTAATCAGAATAAGGATTAAAAAGTACAGGTTTGATTTAGCAGTTAGTAAGTCATTAGTGAAAGAATAAAAAGCAGTGTTAGAGGAACATTAGAAATAGAAGCAAGCTTGAGGTAGGACTGAAGTGTTTAGAAGTAAGGGGCCATGATGTTTGTAATGTAAAATGGTTCAGAAAAAAATGGAGCTAAATGTTAATAATAGGTGAATCTGGGTAAACGATACACAGGTGTTCTTTGTACTAGTTTTGATCTTTCAGTTTTTCTGAGCTTTTTGACATTTTCAAATGAAATGTCTTTAAGAAATTACAGTAGAGAGCGAAATAAGTCAGGCAGAGAAGGACAAATATCATATGTGTGCACGTATAGGAGGATTAGGAGGAACTTAACAGAGGACCAAGGGGGAGAAGAAGGGAGGAAATGGTGGGGGAAAGGGAGAGAGGCAAACCATGAGAGACTCTTGAATGCTGACAAGAACTGAGGACTGATGGATGTAGGGGGGAGGAGGGATGGGCATGGAGGAGGACACTTGTGGGGATGAGCACTGGGTGTTATGTGGAAACTAATTTGACAATAAACTATTTGTAAAAAAAAAAAAATTACAGTAGAATAAAAAGTTAATAAAGGAGAAGTACAGAAATGGATTTAATACATGTCTGTCCAAACCTTTGCTGTGTATAGCAAAGAAACAGTACCTAGAGGAGAAAGTTGAAACCAAGAGCTTAGTTTTGCATTTAGGTTACAGAGGGTAAGGAACTAATGATATACAGGGGAAGTAAAAGGTGTGAAGATAAGAATAGAACAGAACAGTAATTGATGGAGTAAGATCTCTGGAGGCAGAGTGAAAAATGAAACAGAAGGTAAAGAAACAATTTTTTCCAACATACTCAAATTTTATTTAGAAATTGTTTGTCTTGTAAATGAGATCATTAATTGGATTATTGCTCTTGAATATGTTTAGACTTTGTAATTGTAGTACTTTGAAATCTCCCTATGTAAGAGTGAGGATTACATTGTCTAGACCAGTAGTTTGCTTTTATTGCTACCTAAGTCTGTTTTAAAACTGGGTCACCTTTTTAGATGAAGTATGTATTTTGATTTCTTGACTGTTGGTCTTTTTTTAAATATATTATCAAAATTAGCATTATTAATTAAAGCCTTGATGTTGAGGAGTCTTCTGTGCCAAGTGTAAAAATCGGACTACTTTGGTTTGCAAAGAACCTGGAGCCAAAATTCCCAGTAAAGACACATGGATGCCTGTGTCAGCAGAAGAGAAAAATCACACATCTATTTTTAAGTTAGTTGGAATTCTGAAGTCAAACCACTTGGTTGAATGCCTGCCATAGGGACATTAAAATTTCAAACATTTATAAGACCTCTGCTGCCTCCTGCTGTCTGTTGTGGATACTTTAGTAATGGTAAAGAGTTCTTTAAGAATTAAGCATTTTTTGGGGCGCCTGGGTGGCTTAGTCGGTTAAGCGTCCGACTTTCGCTTAGGTCATGATCTCGCGGTTCGTGGGTTCGAGCCCCGCGTCGGGCTCTGTGCTGACTGCCAGCTCAGAGCCTGGAGCTTGTTTCAGAGTCTGTGACTCCCTCTCTCTCTGACCCTCCCCTGCTCATGCTGTCTCTCTCTCTCCTAGAAATAAATAAAACATTTAAAAAAAAAAAAAGAAACATTTTTTCTGGTATTTGTGAATAGAAAATTATAATGTAACTTCAACTTACAAATTTTTCAGGTTGAAAAATTATCAAAGTTCTTTTTGACTTTTCTTTTCTTTCTTTCTTTCTTTCTTTCTTTCTTTCTTTCTTTCTTTCTTTCTTTCTTTCTTTCTTTCTTCCTTTCTTCCTTTCTTCCTTTCTTCCTTTCTTCCTTTCTTCCTTTCTTCCTTTCTTCCTTTCTTCCTTTCTTCCTTTCTTCCTTTCTTCCTTTCTTCCTTTCTTCCTTTCTTCCTTTCTTCCTTTCTTCCTTTCTTCCTTTCTTCCTTTCTTCCTTTCTTCCTTTCTTCCTTTCTTCCTTTCTTCCTTTCTTCCTTTCTTCCTTTCTTCCTTTCTTCCTTTCTTCCTTTCTTCCTTTCTTCCTTTCTTTCCTTTCTTTCCTTTCTTTCCTTTCTTTCCTTTCTTTCCTTCTTTCTTTCTTTCTCTTCCTTCCTTCCTTCCTTCCTTCCTTCCTTCCTTCCTTCCTTCCTTCCTTCCTTCCTTCCATCCATCCATCATAAAGTACCTGCTGAAGAGAGAGGCTGTTTTTGAGCCTCAGCAGTGTGTCAGGCTTACAAGCAACCAACACTCCCTGGAATCAATTATAATGCCTTTCATTTTTAAGATTTTATTAGTGTGCCACTTGTTAGAGTTGAGATAGGTTAAGAGGAAAGGTAAGAAGAATTTGTCTCTGTTTATACTTCTCTAGTCCTGGTTCTGTTAGTTGGGAACATTGTAGACAGGGTGAGGGTAATTTAAAAGAAGAAAAACAATATGTTTTGCATGTAGTTGTTATTCATTCTCTAGGCTTTCGCTGAATATCTTTTATATGCTAGATATAAGGGAAACGATAACAAAAAGGGGATATATCATATAATAATAAAGAGCTTACTGCAGTTTAGAGGACGTAGGGGTGTTAAATCTTAAACAAATGAATGCCAGACTTGTAGTTCCTCTTATTCTAGTATCTTGGGTTTTTATTGGAAGCTAACATTTAGTGTGTGAGCAATATTGCATATAGGGTATTAAATTCTCATGTATATTTTACAACTCTTACTTAGAAATTGAAGATTTAATTTGCAGAGTCTGATTATAATCAAACAGATATTTTTGCATAGGATAATATTTAGATGTTTTGATCAACTATAGATTCCAGCTGAACTTTGAGTGACACCCAGAAGATCAACTTAGAGATAAAACTCCATCTAAGATAAAGTTCTTTGTTGTTGTTTAAACCATAAAGTTGCTGCTTTAATAACTTTGATTTTGTTTTCTCTGATTTTTGTTTAAAAAAAATTTTTTTTTTTTTTAAATGTGTTTTTATTTTCGAGAGAGAGCAGGAGCAGAGGAGGGGCAGAGAGAGAGGGAGAGAGAACCTGAAGCAGTCCCCAGGCTCCAAGCTGTCAGCACAGAGCCTGACACAGGGCTCGAACTCACAAACCGCGAGGTCATGACCTGAAGTCTGACACTTAACTGACTGAGTCATCCAGGCGCCCCTTCTCTGTAATCTTCAATTCATAGATTTAGAGTACAGTTAGAAGCATGAGAATGAAAGGAAACATAAATGAGCGTGATAACAATGCCATCTAAAAATAAGGGAGGATACAGGAAAAACTTAAGTAGAATTGTATGAAAGTATAGGCGATCAATTGAAAATTCAAGCTAATGCCATATATTTTGATATCTTCTGTGGGCATCAGCATATTAAAGTGTATCATGTAATTTGATATTCAAACTAATGGCCTAGTTTCATCAGAGGAGATTCTGTATGATGATCTCAGATTTTAGTAGCGTATGTGAAAGAGAGCTTGCAGGTAGGGGAAAAGGTGCTGGCTTTGGAGTTAACCCTAGATTTGTTTGAATGCTGTCACTTACCAGTTACATAGCATAAGTTGGATCACCTAACTTCCTTGTATAAAAAGGGGACTTGTTGGCACCTGGGTGGCTCAGTCAGTTGAGCCTCCGACTTCAGTTCAGGTCATGATCTCACAGCTTGTGGGTCCGAGCACTGTATCTCTGTGCTGACAGCTCATAGCCTGGAGCCTGCTTCAGATTCTACCTCCTCTGCCCCTCTCCTACTCGTGCTCTGTCTGTCTGTCTGTCTCTCTCAAACATTAAAAAAAAAAGAAAAAAAGAAAAAGGGGAATTGTTTTCGCAGAACAGTTGTGACTGAGATTTTAAAAGACAGCTATTTTCAGTCAAGTGGAGTAGTAGTTTTCAGAATTTTTGATCTCAGGATATCTTTATACTATTAAAAAATATTGAGAACCTCAAAGGGCTTTTGTTTTTATGGGCTATATATATTAATAATTACTGTATTAGGCTTTAAAATGGGAAATTTTAAGTATTTAAAGAATGATTTACTTTACTCATCCATGATTTTTTACTATCTTCATTTGGAAAATACTGATTTGCTAAATTTGCAAGTCTTCTAAATGTTGACAAATTTCTTAATATAATTAAAAAAGCACATTTGTTAATATTGCCACAGATATTAGCAGAAAGTCTTTATAATTTGGGGGAAAGCTACAAAACTTATGATGGTGGATACAAGTTTTCCAAAATTCTAATTTTCATCCAAAAGTTTGAATTTTATCATTGGCAATAAATAATGCTAGTTGTTTTCTTGGAAATAATAGGTTCACTTCTTTAATTTTTAGGAAAATTTCTGCTAGGTACCCAACTCTGAGTAACCACAGTTTCTTGCCTTTCAAGTAAAAGTGGTGTTCAGTTGTAAATATTAAATGAAATAATTATTATCAACCTCTTAACAGCTTGAGTCAGCAGTCAGTAAATGGTAGCTAGTGCGTGATGATGGGATATAACATTTTACATGTTATCATCATACCCTCCCACATATTTTAACTCAGTTGATGTTCCTAATGTTCCTGAGATAGGTAAAAAAGTGTCATTATCTCCTATAAATGAGGAAACAGATTGTAAGATATTGAGAGTTTTGCTTAAAGTTACTAGCCAATAAGTAGTGAATCTATACTTCAACCTAAGCCATCTATCCTCAGGTGCATGATTTCCTCACCACTTTGTCAGCAAAGAATATGTCTTTTTTTTTTTTTTTAAATGTTTTTTATTTATTTCTGAGAGAGACAGCATGAACAAGGGAGGGTCAGAGAGAGAGGGAGGCACAGAATCTGAAACAGGTTTCAGGCTCTGAGCTAGCTGTCAGCACAGAGCCCGACGCGGGGCCCAAACCCACAAACTGTGAGATCATGACCTGAGCCGAAGTCGGAAGCCCAACCGACTGAGCCACCCAGGCAACCCCACAATATGTCTTATATAACTGGGGAAACACATAGCTCCACACAGTGTAGCCACAGTAGCATGGCTAACATTTCCAAGTGGTAATAGAAGTAGCCATTTATTTTTGTATAAAGCATTCAGAAAAGTTATTATCTGATTGGAACCCTGAAGAGTTAATTTCTGTTAGTTGTAAGAGAATTAACTATTTATAGGAAACCGTATGTAAATTATGGAGAAGTATAAGTGGAGTAAATTATAAAAGATCATTTAAATAATTTTATTTTTCTATCTGCCCACCTCAGGCTTCAGAAAAGAACTCAAGAATTTGGAAGTAGGCTGTAAATCTCCTGAGTTCCACCCAGAGTCACATCTACAAATAAAAAATCCTTTGATAAAAAGGTAATCAAAAGTATATTATGACTCTGAAAACAATGGGTCTACAATGTTATTGATGCCTGTCTTACTGGGGTCATTAAAAGGACCTGAGAATAGAGGGTCTACAAAGTACCTGGTACAATACATGATTGTTGTAATCCTCACAGCATTTTTAGAAGGTAGATGATATATTACCAAAGAGAAAATTAAGGGCTTTTATTAAGTAATTTGCCTGAAGCAATGGAGCTGAAATTTGACTATAGCTTTTATCTATAGAGCCTCTTTTTATCAATTCCATGCAATTCACATGAGAAAAATAATTTTCATATGGCAAAAAATAATTTGCAATGTGATGTCACTTAGAATTTAATTATTACCTAGGAGCAACTGAGTAGCCCAGTCATTTAAGTATTTGATTCTTGATTTTGGCTCAGGTCATGGTCTCATTATTGGTGGGTTCAAGCCCCGCATCAGGCTCCACACTGATGCTGACAGTAGCACAGACGGCTGGCTTGGGATTCTCTCCCTCTCTGTCTGCCCCTGCCCTGCTTATGCGCTCACTCTCAAAATAAATAAATAAACTTAAAAAAATGATTACCTAAATAAAGGTACTCTTGGTTATTTTTAATTAGTATGCCAGCCTTTTATAGCATTATAAATCAAAATTAAAGTTGTCTCTATTGGTATAAACTTTGTAATGTTTGAGAAGTTTTTTAGGGAATTGAAGTGTTTGCTTATAACATTTTTTGTTGTTGTTGTCTATGCTACATTTTATCACAAATGCAATTTCAGTGTAAGTTAAAATGAGTTTTGTAAAATTATCCTTCTACTTATTAGAAATCTGGTTTTGGTAATGATAAGTGTTTCTGGCATTCATGTATTTTGGCGTAAATTTTGGATTAAGAGTGTAAAATGTTAATGGTTATAAATGTCTTCCCACTTCTGTTAATGTTACAAAAATAGCAAAGTGTGTACTGAGAAATTAAACTACAGGGCAAATGTTTGTTTATCCTCTGGTTTTCCCTATTTGTATGTGGTGTTTTAGCTTTGTTTTTGTTTTTAATGTTTCAGGTCACACATACATGAAGCCAATGGAAAGTTGTTCCCTTCATCAAGTCCGCAGATAATCAAGGACAATGGAGCAAGAGAGCATATCCACCAGTCAAGTGAACAGAAACTTGAAACATCAAGTGAATGCAAGTTTTCTGAGTGGCTTAATACAGAAAATTCTGAGAGAACAGGTTTACTTTTTCACATTGATGATAATTCTGCCTCTGGAAAGAGAATGAACAGTAACGAAACAGTCTCACCATCTTCATTCTGGTCCTCACACGTGAGACCTGTTGGGTTAAAGCCAGAAACTGCTCCCCTCATCCAGCAACAAACTATGATGGAACAGTGTTGCTCTGAGAACTCTCTGTCCAGGGAACATGTAATTCAGTCAGCCTGCAGATCTGATGGTCAGATGCCAAAACCTGTTAGCCATATTCCGCCTCCTTTGCCACCAAAGAAATATGCTATAACCAGTGTGCCACAGTCAGAGAAAAATGGTCCCACACATAATGTCAAACTTACAGAGACATTTAAAGTTAATTCTTCTAGTCTTCCAAAGCATAGTTTAAGTCCAGATTCAGAACCAGGTTCAGAAGTGGGTACATATATGAATGATGAAAGACTTAAGGAAACATTTCAAGTAAAAGAGCATGTTGGCAACACACCAAACTACCTGTCCAGCTTTTCAGCTAAAGATTTTCAGGCAGACTTAGGTACAGTTGTTGATGCATTTTGCCACCCAGAAATAGACTCTAGTTCTGCGTGTCAAAATGAGACCATTTCATTAACTACCTATTTTTCAGTTGATAACTGCATGACTGATACATACAGACTGAAATACCATCAGAGACCCAAGCTCTGTGTTCCAGAGAGCAGTGGTTTTTGTAATGATAATTCACTATCCCAGAGTGAAAGAGGACTAGGACCCATGTTACACAATAGTCTTGGTTCAAACTGCCCTTCTGAGCAAAGATATAAACCTAGTATACATTGTAGTAGATAAATGATGAAACTGGTAAGCTTATACTTCTCAGAGGCCATTAAAATATAATAAGAATTGACTGACCAAACCTGGTGATATACGATACACCATGGCATTTTTAAAGTCATTAATCACTTTAACTTTCTATATATATTTTTTATTTTGTGATCAACTTATTGGATATTTTAGAGATTCCCTTTGAATAGCCTTGGTGTGTCTGCAAAATAGAAAATCAGGGCATATGCAAAAAGTCACTGCTGCAATCGAATCAAATTGTAATTTGTTCCTGTATGTGTGGCTGGCAGACCCATAAGTATTAAACTAACCAATACTCACATATGTAGATTGGTAAACTATGCTAATTGAAAAATACCAGGTGATACATAGTTTGTGTAGGCAAAGCAGTATTTGCTTTATGAAGAAGCACTTTCTAATGGGTAAGGAACCAAAAGCGGGCTTCTCCCATTTGTTTTTGACTTCTGTGATAGTCTACTACATGCAATCCCTTTAAGTGTCTTAAAAAAATATCAACCCATAAAATTGTAAGCATTTGAAAAAAAAGCCTTAGCGATAAAGCAATTTGTAAATTAAATTCTTAAGGTCAGAACAGAAGAAACTTAATTTTGCTCCTAGAACTTTTAGCTACAGAATGCCTAATTAACATAAATTAGGACTTTGTCTTTTGTATGTATTCATAAACTTCAGCCATGTAAGCTAAAAATAAGTAAAATTCTTAACTTTAGTATATTTATTTGTTAACATTTTTTCTAATTTTATATGAAATGTGAAAGGTTTTATTTTGGTTTAGTTTACATTGGGCTGCTAATAACCAGTGTTAGGAATTAACTTCGGGCCCTCTTCTTGGGAATCTCACTGTGACTGCCTAAATTTCCCCTGCTGTAATCTTATGCCTTTATAGGTTGTCAACCCATTTTAGTGACCTTCAGATTCTTGAATTAAAAAATATTTCTGGGTTTCTAGATTGAATTGCTACCTTTCATAGAGGGTTTAATTTTAATGAAATGTATTAATATGAGCAACTCTCCCATTTTCCTACTATAAACAGCCATTTTACCTTAACTACTTTCATTTTTAACTATTTTAAAAATAAAGGAGATTTCTATGATCTTGGTGACCTTGTAAATTACTTTAATTGCCTTATTTCATTAGTTGTCATTTTGTTTTGTACTAAGTTGGTAAACTTACTGTGATTTAGGAGTTTTTTATTGTCTACTTAAGAAAATTAAGAATTATACAATTAAAAATTTTCTTATATTCATTAATAAACTTTATACATATAACTTAATTCTCTAAACTGATTAGTAAATTTAACATTTTGACCAATTCCATAAATTGTTAAAATATTCCAAATGTAAATGTTTTAAAAGGACCATTTCTAGATAAATATAAAATAATTGCTTGTAAAAACCTAACATCACCGTTACCAAATCTTGATCAATTATTGTCTTCCACTAGAGAAATTTTTAAATAGCCTAACTGTAAATGTAGGTGATTATTACTTTATATTCTTTACTTTAGAAATACTTGAATATGAACTATGTTAAACTTTATCTTTTAAGAAAGCTTATTTTTAACATAACTTTTAGTATGGAGGGTTTGTAAATACTGTAAAGTTTTTTAAATTTGAAATGTCTAAGTATTTAATTACTGCTTTTATAACATTGTAAAATACTAGAAAATGGACTTCAAGTATTTTTAATACCTTTCAAAAACTGTGTAGCTTTTTAAAAAAATGTATTATTTGAAACATTTAAACTTAGTTCTGATTTTTAACAGCAGTATCATAGATTTGTATTTTCAACTCAGATGAGTTGCAACCTCTGATTTTGGCTCTTGAGTACTGTTCAGTTGAAACCACCTGAATTGTATAATAGTACTAACAAACTAGAAACTGTTTTTGTTGATTCAACGCTCCAAATATAGATTTGAATACATAATTCCTAACTACTCATTCACATGTAAAAATTTTATTTCTAGGGTACCTAATTTTTATAGGTGTTTTCTTCTGGTTATAAAATTACGATTTCTGAAATAATGCAACCAATAATTGTTATACTGTTCAAAATACTTATTTTCAGACTGTTCTATTTTTCTATGAAATCAGTTTTTTCTGGTTCAGCCTTTTTTAAAAGATAAACTGATTTTTAAGTTAATATGGTTGGACTTTTCTGTGCATTCATGAACTGTGGCTTCCTTTTTCCCCATGTGGATTATTATTTTATGGGAAATGTAAGTCAACTTCAAGGGTACTTAGAATATCACTGATAATAAAATGTTATCACTGGAGTCTCCTTAGAGTGTAACTGTAGTGAGGTCTAAAGTAGGGGTCCTATGGGAGTTGGCAGACTTTCTATAAAGACCCAGGTAGTAAATAATTTGGTCTTTGTGGACCATAGGGTTTTTGTAACAAACAACTACTCAACTCTGCCGCTGGTTAAAGAAGTATTTAAAGAAGCCATGAATGGTATATTAATGAATGGTATGTTTGTATTCCAATAAAACTTTATTGACATTGAAGCTTGGATTTCATATAATTTTCACGTTATGAAATTTTTTAATTTTTTTCAACCACTTTAAAATGTAAAATGTAAATTTTAAAATGTAAAAATCATTCTTAGCTCACAGGCCTGATCAAACCATTGGCCATAGTTTGGTGACCCTTGTCCTAGTACATAATTTATATTAAGTAAACTCAGTGACCCTAAATAAAATATCCTGTAGTCTCTGAATGTGTTCCCATGCCATTTAGGGACTAGATATGTGGAGGGGTTTCTACTGCAAATTTTCAGGTCAACAGACTCCTACTAAAGACTTCCTCACAATTGCTAGTCAGCTAGTTCATTTCAAATGGTTATTAAAATAGTTATTTCATTTATCTGAAATGGTGTTTGAAATTTACAAAGGAATTTATCAGATTAAAATAACATGGATGTTATTCTTTGAATGTCTTTGTTTTTGTCTAGCAAGTTTGCCAACTTTTCTTGGTGTCCCATTCATCCTTTAGCCTTACCCATTTAGCCTTCAGGTGTGACCACTGTAAGCAGTCACTGTACTTGAGATGACACAGTTCAGTGGTAGGCATAATTTCTTATTCATCAGCTGCAGTAAAGATTCAGCCCTCATGCTGCCACCATTTTTGTATGCCATTTATAGTCATGTCATAACACTAAGACCTTACTGCCTTCCCTCTATCAGAAGTTTTCAAAATCTCCAATAGTTGTGGTAGTGGGCTGATTTTGGGCTCAGAAAGATAGTAGGGATTATAAATCTTTGTATGTAACCTAACATTAAGCTACATGGAAACTTAATCCTCTCAACACACTACCACCAAGTAATTTGTTTAAACAAATGCAAAATCCAAATCAGACCAAATTTAATTATATAATAAACATTTATTGGACAAAATTCTTAGCAAGCAGCAGAAAAATCATTCATATTTGGTATACTCCATGAAATCCCAGTTCTTTGTTTCTTTAGATGCTTCAACCTTTGCATAAAAGGTTCTCTCCAGGCAGATGCAACAATATCCCGAAGGCGTAATTATTAACGGCATAGTTGACAATAGGCAACTAAAATCATCCAAAATGAGTTCCAGATTGCATTTTAACTGCCATTGTAAAAGGGAGAGGATGTAGTTTACTAGATCTATGCCCTGTTTCTAAGGAAAGGGAATATCCTCAAAATATTGAGGCAATTCATACGTATCAAATGTCACCAATTTCAACAAGAGCCCATTTCTACCATATGTTACATAAAGGAATATCTGTTAGATAATAGGAATGGCTTCTGAAGGGCTTTTAGTAGCTGTTTTGGGAGTGTGACCTTTCTGATTAAATACTAGCTCATCTTTCTAGAATGTAAATTCTTGTTAACATTTAGATAAGAATGTAAGCTCTAAGAAGGCAGGGATTTTTTTGTCTGTTTTGCTCACCACTGTTACCTGGCCCAGAGTAAATGCTCAAATATTTACTGAAAAGAGTAAATGAGCTCACTTTGAGAAAGTATTTAAGGTACAAATATTTTTAAAAAACATGTTCTGGCCACAAGCATTCTTAATGCAACCACAACAATAAAAAATAGGCTTGAGACACGGATTTATTTTAGGGAAGTTCAAAAGCCTAAAAGGGAGTGGCAAGAAGCATCCAGGTGAGAAGACATGCACTCTAGATTTCCAATGTTGGATATTATATACTTTCTCTGAGATTGTATCAACCTGGCAACCGTAACAGAAGACCATTTAATCTAAAAATTAAACTGTTACTTACAGCCAATACATTGTGGGTCTGCATTTTCTGGATAGCTCTTAACTCTCTCAAAACCCTTCCCTTGCTTTTGACTGATTTCTTTTTATATACTTCACCTTAATATTTCACCATATTTTTGCATCATACTTAACTCTAGCTAACCTTTAAGATGTTACAGGCTAGACATTTACTGTATTTCTTAATGAATACACTAAACCCTTACATATAAATATTTTAATATTCAGCCCCTTAAAGCCATTAGATGTTTGAAAAGTTTTTAAACATCAATCAGAGTCTAGTTTTAAGAACTTAGCTATGTGAATGGGTGAGACCATTACCCATTTAATGTAGTCCCCAAAATGAATAACAGAGTATGTAAAATGAAAGTCCCTCAGAGTTTGAAGTTCTGTTGCACAATCCTTTCTTCTCCAAGAAGTTTGTAGTCCTTTTCAGAATCCACTCCAGGCACCCAACTTCTTAGTGTAGACACAGGCAAACCATTCTGTAAAAATCAAATACTTGTCAACACTGTTTCCTTCTTCCCATTTTAATACTTTACCCCAATAATGAAGATCTAAATTGTCTCAATCACTTGCACATTCCTAAATGATTTAAGTATTGATGAGAGAGGGAAGGGGAAAAAAAAAAGGCCTGGACTATTTCTCTTAAGACTTCCATTTTATACCCAGAGGTGAAAACTCTTTAAAAACAAAAAAACAAAAAACAAAAAATCACTATATTTGAGATATCAGCCTCTACCCCAAACAGGAAGGGAAGTAGAGGAGAGTGGAAACTCTACAAATGGCTTAGCAGAGGATTTTATAGAAATACCCATCTCTTCCATTCATCCCACTCAACCCTCTCTGCCTTCTGATTTACCACGCCATGCAACAACTCAGAGACAATGGGGCCTTACATACAATGTGCTTATGCCCAAAGCTGTGCCAAAATTTGGGGGTGGGGAAAGAATATATAATTGCTCATCAAGGATTGCAAATTCCCAAGCAGGACAGAGAGAGGTTTACTCATAGTGAGAAGACAACTCCAAAGTCCAAGAAAGTTCCACAATATCTAAATGAGCTGCATCGCTTTTCCTCCACAGGCTCTCTCTTCAGACTGCTGCTTCTCAACTTTTTACTCATCACCTCAGTCCTGTGTCCCTTTACCTGTTCTGCTCCCCTGCCCCTTCTCTACATTGCTTTTTCTTCTCCCCTTCCAAAATCGTCTTTTCAGACTGAGTGGCAATGAAAATGGAAAGCAAGGGTTCTGCAAGTGAAACCTGCATGATTTTGTGTTTGGGACTGTGTAGCTGTGTATAAAAGAAAGAGGAGAGTCAAAGAGGCCCAGGGTTCAGGGTTCAGTAAATTAACATTTACTTAAATGGGGTCATAAAAATAAGTCGATTTTTGTAAGAAGTTATTAAGAGTTCAGGTTTGGACCTGTTTGAGATACCTACTGAACTACTTACTCATGGTCAAACTAGTATAGGAACAGTAGCTTTAGTCTAGCGCTTGCTGCTGCCAGAGAAAATGCAATTCGCTTTTAGATAAATTACGATCTCATTTAATCTTCACTCCACACCTGTGACCTGGTTATTACTGGTACCAAATGGTAAATGGAAAAATAAAGCTCAGAGAAGCTAAATGACTTCTCTAATTTCTTTGTGGTACTGCCAAAACTCAAACCCAGCTGGTTTCGTTCCAAAACATAAATAAAAAATTAAAAAAAACTATGAAGCCAAGTTTCTACCTCTTTGAAGACCCTCACTGAGGTGCCAAGGAAGAACATTTTCATTCCAGTCTCATCCCACTCTTCCCCAGCCCCCGACCCTGTCATTCACCAGCTGTATTATTACCTTGGCCATACCATACTCTCTGGAATTCAGCTACCTTGCCTACCCCGAAAATTGCAGTAGTGGTAGGTAAGCTCCATACCAGTTCAATTCTGTATTCAGACTACTCACCAGGGTAAAAGATACACGAAGATAAACAACACCAGGTCGAAGAGGATGAAGAGCCAGAGATCCAACCAGTAGGAATGTTTTGGAAACCGGTCTGCCCTCGATTGAGACCGCACTTCGTGATTCTGCTGCTGCCTCCCAGCTTCACCCAAGGCTAGCCGCTCCCGGGGGCCGTTCTGACCATCTTCAGGCGCCGCGCCCGCCTCCATCTCGCACCCGACAACCGGCCGCAGTCAGAGCGGGTGAAAATCCCTCACGTACCGTACTTCCGCGTTCACCTTGCCAGAAATTGGCCACAGCCTGGCTCCTACGCATGCGCGCTCCCCGCCCCCGGAAAAGGGCCCTGTACTCGCCTCTTCTCGCGCGCAGGCGCCGCTCGGCGGTACGCTGTGTCCGTGACAGCTAGCAGGCAGCTGGGCCTCTACCCGGAAGCGGAGTAAGAGGGCCCGCCCGCTCCGCCTGCTGCGCCCTGGGGGAAGGCTGGTTTGACAAGTTTCGCTAGAAGAAAACCTCTCTGGCCGGACCGGAAGTCATCCCATTTCTGTCATGTGACGGATTCCATCCTGGAACTCCCCACGGTCCCCTTTCCTTATCCGTGTATGGGTCCTTATGCCAGGGTTTTGGGGCCCCCTCTGATAGTTTTGTGTGTGTGTAGCACGTTCCACTTACTTTATTTAATCCTGAAACAGCTATATTCCGATGGAAGTCATAATTAGGAGCTTGAGTTCCTAAGGGGGCCAGAGAGCAAATCGTAATTTTGCGTGTACCTCATGAGAGTGAATATAAGAATAATACAAAGGTTTGGGATGTGATCCCCTGTGAGACTACAGTGCTAGCAGAAAGAAAATTATTGATCATTGTCGGTGAAAAAAGATTCTCTTCTACTTACCTTCTTTGGGTCTTCAGCAAGGCCTAAAAATTAAACTGACATAAGACAGATTAACAGGAGAAAAGCATGCAAGTTTTATTAAAAATTTTTACACGTACATGAGAACCTTCACAAGAGAATGAAGACTTGAAGAAGTGACCAGAACAGAAAACTTTTATACCTTTTAGACATAGAACCAAATAAGACAAACGGATTTGGGCCAAGGATAGTAAACAGTGGAGAAACGACTAGGAAGATAAGCATCAGTGTAACAAGTCTTATTGGTATGATTTCTCAGCCGGATTCCCCATCCCTGGTGAGGAGAATGTTTTTCTTCCTCCTGGTAGAAGGAGGGCATCTTTCACATGGGAGTTTTCTCTACTGCCAGGAAGAATAAGGAAGGTCAGAGTGTCCCTCCTGTGCCTGCTTACTTCCCAGGCTCCTTTAACTTAAAATAATCAATGTGCCAAAGCAGGATATTTTGGGGTGACATGCTCTGAAGTCCTTCATTTCTCTGTCTGAAAGTTTCTTAGAAGTTTCACATAAAAGCTAAATATGTGGCACTGGAAGGAAGAATTGGGTTAGCAGCCAAGTGGCAAGGAGTCTATCTGCAAAGGGAAAGAAGAGCATAGATTTGAATAAGAATGAATAAACAAGAAATAACAAAACTAAGCACGTTTCCCCATATCCCCTTAAATGTCTCCCATGCCTGGGAATAGGTCACTCCTATAGAACAGCTGAACCTCATTTGTCTGACAGAGAGTGTGTAGCTTGTCTTTCAAAGGGTGCAGGGTAGACATTATTTGTCCCAAGCAATATACATAGAAGCAGCCTTCTTCACCAGTGACTGCATTAGCTCCTCCTTTGAGGCTGTCAGTGTGTGTAGGGGAAGGCAAGTTTGGATACAATAGGGCCTAAACTATTAACTTCTGGTAGAATAGCTTCCGGGTATTTGTGCAGTGATAACTAAACTCTTGTTCTATTACTATGGAAAGATTTAGAACTGCCTTTTCCAACTCATAAGTTCCAAAGCCTGGGAAAAAGGAGCCCAATATTGAGAAAAACCTTAGAATTGTGATGCACAAGCCAGTATTCTATAACATCTTGTCTAGTATATTGATGTGGCACTACTTTATGACCAAAGGAGCCCAAGTTTGTAATTTGGCTGGCATTTAAGGTGGAGTACCTGGTGACAGAGGGGATCAGGAATCTGAGGCCACATTGTCTTGACCATCTAGGTGGAACTCTTTATGTACCTTATCATAACATAAGATTTAAAAAAACAGTATTGTTCATGGATAAGGTCAGAATGAAACTTGTGACTTACTAAGTTGGGGTTTGGTGTATCTTGTTACCTGTCGTGTTGTTATCTGCACATCTCTGTCTACCTTGTATCCCTGTCAGTCCATAGGAGCAGAACAGGTTGTGAAATATCTGATACAAGGGACCTGCAGTTAGGCCTTGGCAGCTGTAAGGTTTGATTTTGTTACCTGACCAAGTTAGTGCAAGTTTTTGGTCTCCCCATATGTAATCTTTGGCCTCTGGCAGCTCAGCTGCTCCCAGGTCACACAAGGGTGACTTGTGAGTGAGCTGTAATATCTGGTGGTTTGGCAAGCATCTATACCGTAAGAGTCAGTAAGTATTGAGACCATTTCTGACCTTCATGAGAAGCTTGAGGACGCTGCCTGAGGAAGTGCACCTCAAGGTTTGATTGTAATATTGCCTCGGTGTGTCAGGTGGGAAAAGTCCAGTACCATCGCAGTTTTCAACGCAAAGGGGATAAAAAATCCCTTCTAATGTCTTTTAGCAAAGGACAGTCTTTGAGCTTCCATAGAGGTTTCCCCATGTACTTGACTCACCAAAAGAAAAGAGTGATGTGTTTTTTGGTCGTGGATGCCATATCCTGTAATGCATCGATTTTCCAGAGTTAGTTTACAAGTTGGTCTTATTGGCGTGAATAAAAATTAATTGCAGATTCTTTTGCATGATCTCGATGTTGACATAACCAGCAATCAGATTGATTAGTTAATGTGGCCAGGGTTTGGAAAAGTGGTTTAAGGGGGTGTCAGTTCTGTGCATAACCTGCTGAGAAAACAGTAAGAACTAATAAATGAGACACCAGCTTGAAAGAGAGCTCATAATGGAAGATCAGAGTGAAAATGGGATAGATTGAGACAAGCAAATCCAGTCAGCCTTTTAATAAATGGCTGAAGAAGGGAGAGGCTTTGTAAAAAGGAAGATCTTTTAAATTTTCCCTTTGGGAGTAGGAAGACCCCGTGGGGGAGAAACTAGGTGGAAGTGAATGTTTCTTGATCTGTGACCTTGGGAAAAGCTGTGTACTTCATGATTTTGTCTGTTTCTGGTGCCTAGGAATTTGCCTGGACAATGTTAACTTTTTTTTTTTTTCCAAAGGACTTTTAGGGTTTTCTGTTATTTATTTATTTATTTATTTATTTATTTATTTATTTATTTATTTATGAGAGATAGACAGCATGAGTGGGGGAGGGGCAGAGAGAGAGACACAGAATCTGAAGCAGGCTCCAGAGCCTGATGTGGGGTTCGAACCCACAGACTGTGAGATCTGACCTGAGCTGAAGTCAGATGCTTAATCGACTGAGCCACTCAGGTGCCCCCTGGAAAATGTTAACTTTAAGGTCAACTTAGGGATGGTCTTCCAGTTGTCCTGGGAGTGCTAATCCTGGTCTAACTTGGTATGGTTTGTGTGACTCTACGATGGTAGCAGTGTGAGTGGTTAGCAGTACTTCCCAATGGTCTTCTCAGTGAGGTGACAATGTGTGCTTTCTTCCGAAAACCTTGATGTACATCTAATCTTCTGGTCAAAAGGGATGGCAAATCTTGCCATTCAGCAGAGGCCGTGCCATTTTAACCTGCTAATGATATCCTCCAATTAAACTAGTTAGTTCTTGTCTATAGCTAGACATGGTGATATGGAGAACAAAGGCCAAAGAAATGTAGATAAAATTAAATCTCCTTACAACTTGCAGCCCACTGACAAATACTTGACACGGGCAGAATTTGACATTCCTCAAGGAACTCATGACTGCCTTAAGTTAATGCTTTGCAAAAAGCAACCTTAGCTTGACATTAGTCTGACCTCTAGGATGCTATAAGTCTTCTTGAGGATATGAAAATCCTTTTGGATTTTATCTGTGCCCCTCCCAACTTAAAATATATAATCAACCACTTCTCACAGTCACCATTGCAGCTCTTCTGCCCCCGGGTCCTGTCCCAGGGTATAATAAAAACACTTTTTTGTACCATCTCAAAAAACCTTTCTTGATCTTCTGCTCCGGACCCACATCACATCAATAGCATCGAATTTTTCACTTAAGCCCCTATACTGTTCGTGCAGTCCAGGAACAGAAGGTTTAGAGATGCCAGGAGGAATAAAGTGACAAAACATTATTTCTAAAGATGTTGATAATGTCTTCTATTTGGAGTACTCCAGATTTTTATCAGGGCCAGGGCTAAGGCTTCTGGCCATTAAGTCCAGTTTCTTAACAGACTTTTTCTGAAGTCCTTTTGACATCTGGATTTTTATATTCTCTTTGCCTTGAGGATTAGGGATGGTAAAAAGTATGAAATTTTAATGAGTACTCCAAAGTTTTTGCAAGCAAGTGGTTATTTTCTGCTATAAAATTACTTCCTTCCTGTGACCCAGTCCATAACGGAATGCCAAAACAAGGAATATTCTCAGTTATTAATTCTTCACCATTGCTGTGGCCTTGGTACTTCTAGCTGGATAGTATTCGGTCCACCCACTAAATATACAGACATAACCAAATAGTGGAAATAGCCTGACACTGGAGACAAACCTATGGAATCTGTTTTGGAGTTCGGCAAGGGGCAATGTGGGCCTTGGAGGATTTCCTGAGGTATTTTGGTTTCCTCTAGAAATTTGGTGAGATTTATAAGTAGTATACTGGGAAATAATTTGGCCAGAAATTTTATGGATGCCAGAGAAAAACCAATTCTTTTCTAACTCCTTAAATATCTCCCACCCACCCAGATGTTCCATCTGATGGGAGATGAGTACACGCCAAAAGGTCAAAAGAAAAGGGACCACAGGAAGTCTCTTTGACCCAATGTATAATCTAATTGTTTGGCAGCCTTTTGAATCCATTTGTCTTCTTCAGATTGTGGGGTATTTACCTGAATAGTTAATACTATCAGTCAGGGATAAAGGCAGGGTTTTAAATTGGGTGGAAAAAGAAAAGAGGTTCTGTTTAGGGCTGCAGAGGTTGTCAGCCCTGCTTTCCCTAGAGATATAGTATCTGTCTCCTTAGTACGGCTACACAGCAAACAATATCAGTTTTAGCAGGGAAATGAATAGCTTGTATAGGGCGCAATTATATGCCCATTGGTGAGAGGAGTACCAGCAGAGGATAAGAATCTACAGGATTTCCAG